ACGGAACTGGGTTCCATCATACGAATTGATTACACTGTGTTGGGAACACATCAAACGCTTCGCCAACATCAAGTAGGACATAGACCGACTTTCTGGATTGCTTTGCCACCCGGTGAACGGGTCGTGGATGGCCAGTCTATCGAGGTTACATTAGGAAATAATGGACCGGTGGTCTAGTGTCAGTCGGGGGGAATGTTGTGTGATTCAATGTTCGCGCTCTGTACTGTTGGATTAGGTAGCAACCGGGTTGCTACTGTTAACTGTTGCTAACTGGAAATACTCGGTATTTCCTTTATTCTCATTTATATCCTTTTCTTTAATTTCCTTTATTTTTGATATAAATAGCCTTAATTTGTAATCTTTATTTAAGTGACCTTTGGATAATTAAACTAGTTAGAGTTAATTCAACGTGTGTCCTTCATTGTCATAGATTCTCGGAATCTATCTGTTCAGTATTCTAGGAATACTCATCTTGCCAACTAGGTTGGTGAAACCTTTGTAATACTCGGTATTACTTGTGCTCTTGTGATCTAATTTGATCCTGTGAATAGTCTTGGACTATTACGATTAGAAGTGACTATTTGTTCAGTTCTTAGTTTCAACCCTGTTGAAATATCGAGATAAATACTCAACCCGGTTGAGCCATACTGCTGATCTAGCTTCTAGGAAGCTCAGAGTGTGTTAGAAGAACTTGGAAACCGATAGTTACACAACAGTCAGTTCGATCAAAATACTGAGTTAGAATAAAAAGTTCATTGTGCATTGCATAAGGCAATATTCCTTCTTGGATTTAACTGCTTAGCAAAACGACAATCGTCAACGGATCGAACGATCTTCTTTAGAGCTTCTTTAAAAGCACAATAATGATAAATTGCTGGCTAAAGCAGTTCTTTGCATGTCATTTTGAATATTGAGTCAAAGCTAATTATTAATAGTTGTTACTAAAATGATCTTGTAAATTTGAATAGTATTGTAGATGAAGTTTTCGTTGTTAACTATGATTTTAATTATGATTAATCAGTTTTGGCTTGCAATCAAATCGTTGTATAAACATTGTAACCCATAGAAATAGCTACATTTTGTTATAATTTAAGGCAACCTTTATGATTCATTTGATAGCAATTTAAGGTTGACATTAGTTCAGTCATTAAGTTACCTCATTAGTTTGTAATTTCAAGTATTTTCACCACAAATCATCCTGCAAAACAGTCCAATTTCAACAAGTTGTTAACACCTAAATATGTGACATAATATTATGGGTTCGAACAAACAAAATGCCTCAAGTTCATCAACAACCAAATAAATCAATATGAACCTGAACAGTAATTAGTTTAAAAACATCAATCTTTACTCGAATCGTTGATGATATAACTTGGCATAATAAGCATTTAGGTTACGTTGTGAAGTAAAAAGTGAAAACTTGAGCTTCTAAGTTACAGAATTGAGTGAAACATGGAAACAGGAAAAATGGGTTAACCAGGGTTAAAAGCAAAGTCTTGAATGGTTTGTTTGTGTAAAAATGTACGCTTTATGCCAAAACTGTTTTCATCATTACACTGTTTTATGCACAAACTGGAAACTGTTTGTGATATTTTGAATGCCATTTAGATATTATTAATATATTGAAATTGGCATAGATTTGGGATCGATTGTAACACTTGCCGGTTTCATGGTAATCACTTTACTGAGAAACATTTCACTTTTCCCTCAACATGGATGTAATCATGAAAATCACATGTTGGTTTACATTTTGATTTCAACCCAATTTCGAACTCTTTTCTTTCTTGCTTTCTTCTTCTTCTTCTTCTTGGATGATACTTTCATTTTAAAGCTCTGATTATCATGATCATCATCAACAACAATCAAATGTAAATCTTAATGACAAGTTGGCAAAGTTAACCAAAAATTTATTCCAATCGTTGAGTTTCTTCAAAGCTTTTCTATTTGAGAAATGATTCTTGTTTAAAGACATCAAATGCAATGGTTCAATGTTTCAATCAAAGTTACATTGAAAATGTAAAGTGCAACCTTCAACTGCATAACCACAAATAACTTTAAATTTCATTCAAATTTCAATTCATTTGTCGACAAGTTCCTGAGCAGACATCACTTTGCTTCAACCTGGTGATGTTTTCATCTTTTAAACGAATCAATCTTCGATCAAATTTCTAAGCATCAATGAAGTCAGTTCCATCATCTAACTGAGAAATGGCTTTACTCGAACTTGGTTTAATTGAAATCGAGTCGAAACAAGTTCGCCATTGTTTAAGAACGAATTAATTTTTTTATTCAACTTCACTTCCCTGATCTTCTTAACCCAAATCAAAAGATCAAAAGACATTGAAAACTAAACATTGCTCATTCAATGTACATCAACCGATTATTGGATGTCGAGTATTAGGTTGCTGCATAAAAGTTGACAGATGAAAGAACCATTCAAATGACAATCTCGAGCTCATTAGAAAAGCTTAATTGATCAAATTCACACAATCGATCAATTCAATCCTGAAACATGAACTGCGAAGCTTTTGATTTACAAGTTGGAGTGAAGTTTAACTTTTAATATCTCTAAAAAGATCTTATGTCTTTATGTTTAGGAGTGTATTTTGAGACGAACCTTTGAACAGTTTATTTAAAATCGAATCAAGATGAAACCTCTTGGTTCGACTGTTCGTTGGTACAGGGAATCGATCCAATTCTGCATAAAATCTCATAGATCGAACTGTCTCATTTCATGTTAAAAGGTTAATATAATTTCAATGAAAGTTTACCAGAAAAGACTAAACTAGCGATTTGTTGTTTATAAGGTTCACAAGAAATGACCTGCAATGTATAATTTTCCTTCTCAACTTTGACCATTTTCTGACTCTTGAAACTCTTGAACCTGAACAAATTATTGAATCACTTGAAGTAATCTGATCTCTAAACATATGATTAACCTTTTTTTCCGAGTTTACTCCGGTTCTAGGTCAGATTGTAGTGAAACTAGGAAACCTTCAATCGTCCAAGTTTTGACTAGTGACTGAAACAAACTTTTCCGATCTTCAAATGTATCAATTTACACAATTTTGATCCAGCAACTGTCTACTAACAAGTTGACTTAAATGTTTAAACGACAATTGAATATGCAAAGATAACAATTATTGAATTATTTTGCATAATTTGCACTCATAACTTTCGTAAAGTGACATTTGATTCTAACTGTTGAAACAAATCATAATTGTTGTTGATCACTTGAAACTTGATCAACTTGAAAGACTCAAATTTTACCAGAAAATTGCAACAAACTTCATTTCATTATTTAATTGTCTTTGGATTGATATAAAGGATCAAAAGGATAACAATCGAATTGAAATTGAAATTGAGATTTTATTTTAAAAATTTTGGAAACTTTGGAAACATTGAAACAGCATTTAAGGTTAAGTTGATTCAATTAACAAATACAATGAATCAATGGAAAAGGAAAGTTCCAAGAACTCTGTAATGATTGATTAAATGTTAAGATAAAGATGACATTAAGACAATGATATATACTTTGATTTTTGGGCTGAAAACTGGTTAAAGCGACATTTAATTTAATCTTATTTTCTGTAGCAAAACCAAACTAAGGTCAAACTCCTTATCATCACTCAAACTTAATTAACGTTAACCTCTTCACTTCATCCTTGTAACCTTTATCTTCATCCTGATCATCTTTTACGCCATCTTTTATCCTCATCTTCCTGTGAGAACATGATCTTTTCCTAGTTTTTTTTGCTCAACTCTTCTCGACAATTTGCTTCTGGCATTCAATAATATTCATCCAAATGATAGGTTTCCAGGCTAATCTTTGTCCAATGAGAATTGAAATTGATCTTTCTCTTCATCATCTCTCATCAGGAAATAATATCACCACAGGATCTAAAGGACAATCTTACTGGGAGGTAAAGAGGCAGGATGAAGGTTGAAGGAAGGCAAAGAGATTACAAGTAAAATGGATTCATTGATCTCTGGGAGGAGATTTTTTTTTCTTTCCTTATTTGTATCATCATCATCTCCAGGATCTTTATCTGCTTCATTATCATCATTATCAACATATAAATTGGGATAATTCACTAATAAACAATGAATCGTTCATGGCTTGGTTAATGGATTGATAATGTTTAGACTTTTTTTTCATCGTTTATCTAAACAGTTTTGTTTCCTTTTCAATGACTTATCATTAAAATGATTGAATGGCAACACTTGCAATGGTTGTTGGTCTTACGGTGATGATGATGAGGACTGATTTTGAGGACTTATCAGAATCCAAAGCGATACTAAGTAGACCTGCAAATATCAGATTACCATTGAAGTTGAAAGCTTCAAGAGTTTCATAAAATTCAATGAAGGTTCAATCTTGAATAAACAATTTCCTTTTTATTGAATATCTTACAATTCTGTGTTCAAATTTCCCAAATTTAAAACCAGATTTTAGAGTCAAATTTTGGAAATTTCATTTTTCGTGGTTCCAAAAATTTGCTCTTTTCTGGCTTTCATGATTGAGAAAAGATATATTTTATCAAAGTCCGAAAGCTTTTACATTTCAAGTCAACGTCTCATTTACCAGCTATCAATCTGGTTCAACTTCGGGTTTTTTATTGACTTAACTATTGATTGTTTCAATTGTTATCCAACAAATTGTTTGTTAACCAATCAACTGAGCAATATTTTCAGATAATTTCCATTAAAATAATGATGTGATCTATTAATTGCGTATTAAAGGTTAAGAAAATCTGGTTGCTTGAGAAAAAGTTAAAGGCTGTAAATTGAAGCTGTTTATTATGGAACTTTATTTCTTGTTTTGTGTTTTTTTTAACATGGATAATTTACTGTATTTTAATTAACCTTTTAATGCTCTAATCAACATGTTAACTTGCTTATTATCAATTTATTATGTTGGTTAATTGTTGAGTTGATTTAAAATTAGCGCCAGTAAATGTATAATCATGTGATTTGTTTATCCAAAGTGTAACATGTGTTGTTGGGTTACTGCCAACTGCTCGTTATAATTTAATGTTAGCAAATTATTTTATCAAATTGTGTTTTCCCTTTGCTGCTTTATAAATAACATTATTGTTGATTCAATTTAAAATCATCATCAACATTATTCTTGTTATTATTGTTTTCTATTCTTTTTCTGTTATTCTCTTATTTTTTTCAAATGATCATCTATTGCTGTTTAACCAACGTCAGTTTTTCCTATCAAAAGATATTATAAGTAAACATTGTTAACAATCTTTGATAACAACAATTTGGTCTTATTGTAACCTTTGGGGCATTATCAGGATGACATTGAATCTTACTCAATCATCTGATCACTGTTATTTAATCGAAACGTATTTCTATACTCATACACACACATAATAAACAATTGAAACATTGTGTTGTGTTGCTTTTGTGTTGAATAAATTGAAGAGGAAGAAAAGATATTGGCTTCAAATTGGTGTTTATTTGGCCTTTTTTTATTATCGCTCTTGTTTATTCATTTATTTTTCACACTTTGACCTAACAATTGGGAATTTATAGTTTACAAGTGCAGGTTGAAAGGTTTTCTCATCGCAGGTCAATCAGGGTTTTCATTATTGATTACGAGTTGAGTTTGGTTGAAAGTATTTTCAGTATACTTTTGCTGGAGCTGTTGATAGTTTCATTATGATAATATTGATGATGATTGAAAGTGAACCATCATAAGGATCATCATCTTAAACTAGATCTACCTTCTTAAGTCACTTTACTTCAATTTGATCCTTGATTTATACAGTTTACTGTAAATACTCTAAATAATTCATCTTGAATGTTTCTTTTATTCATGAGGTTTGGGTCAAACATAAGGAATTGGTCAGTCAACAGATGCACTCTTTTGCCTTAAACAGAAGCAATCAACACTTTAGCCGAAAAATAAAAACATTTACCAATAAAACAACAAAAAATGATAATTTTCAACTAAACCCTTGGCAAGTTGATTGATTTACATTGAATAAACGTTGAAATTTAACATTGGCGCTAAAAAAGATAGTGATGTCAGCTATTTTTTTCAACCAATGACTTTGAAATATAAAACCGTTAGATAAGTTTAAGACAATGCTTCTTCAATTTTAAGATTTAAACTTTATTTCTTGTGTTAATTAAAAGTGAAACCTTCAAAAATGATAATTACACCAACAGTTTCAACTCTTCGGGTGAAATTAAAGCCGAAAATGGTGGCAATGATATTGATGGAACATTGGATTCAGGCCAATGGAAAAGAAACACGCCAAACCGTTAAATCTTGAAATATCTTTAACAATAAGAAATTGTAATTCACTGGTCATGGATCGCTTGGTAAGGTTAATTGCTTCAAAGTAGGGATTAATTTTTCTTAATCAAATGCTGGTTATGAGTGAAAGAAAATCTATGTTTAATTTAGTGCCATTCCATGGAGAGCGTTGCTCTATTTTTTCACTGTGTATCTAGCTGGAGCGTGGATTACATGTTTAAATGTTTTGATTTATGGAAGGACCAAAGATTTGTTGACTGACTATATTTTCCATGTGGGTATGGCAAGGAACATGGTTAGTTACATGGTAATTTCAACGATTTACCAGAAAAGAGAAACATTTTTCGTTCATCTTAACGACAACATCTATTGTAAATTTTTTGCTCGACCAGATCTTGCAATCCTAAAGAGGTTCAATCTTTTTTTTAAAAAATAGATAATTTCTATTTCTCTTCTTTTTCATCATCTTTAAACATGATGACAACAAAAGAGAACAAAATTATTCACTCTCCTTTTCTTTCTTTCCTTGTATCTAGAATGCAACAAAAGTTGACAGTCAAAATGGATACAAAATGCTTTGGTCTACTGCCAACATCATATTACATGTGTCTATGATTCATGGAATAATTTATATTTTTTGGAATCTTATTTCTCGATTACCGTAACAATAACTAAATGAACCACTTGATAACTGAATTTCTGGAAGGATTCACAGTTTCAAAATTTTGGATGATAGTTGAAAGAGAAGAGCAAAGTTAGCTCTCTTAGCAAAGTATATTTTATTTGGTAAAATTAATTTGCCTTCAATTTACTTTATCCATCTAATTATAATCATTATTATAATAGTTTTGGTGATTATTACGAGGATGACAAAGGAGATGAAGAAGAGGATAAACTGAATAATTGAAATTGAAGTGCTAAATTATTGAATTGAACGCGTTCTTTGCCACTTTGGATCACTTACCCTTTTTTTGAATCCTCTTTTGTTATCACCATTGTTGAAGCATATTCAAATTAATACTGCCTGTTATTTAGCCTCACTCAAATGGTTAATTCTATCTTCCTCTTCATCTCTTTCTCACCATCCTCATCACCATCTACCTGCCTTTATCTATTATCTTTGTTTACTTTCTTCTACTCCACTTGAATCCTCCAATTGATCCAGATGATTACTATTGCTTGATAGCAAATGAAAAAAAGTTACCCAACCAATTGTAGTCATTAACATCTTAATTTATTCTAATTAATGTACTCTATTCCAATTTCATATTAACCAATAATTACTTCAATTTCCACCTTTTTCTTGCAGTTACCACTTTGCGATTCAAGTAAACAATACGAACAGACGAACAAGACTGGATTGAATTCAATGACAAACGTTCACCAGGCCAATTGATTTTTACCCTTCTTGGATTTCCTTGGCCGCTCTTTTCAAAGTACATTCAACTTTACATGGAAATCCATTGAACTATCTAATATCCTTCGTTTTTTTTCTTCATTTTACTTTGAATTTGTTTCACATTCTCTCATATTCTATTTATTTTGGGTTTATCATCTTCATGAGATGAGGAAACATGAAGGGAAAATAATAAGAGTGTTCAATGTTTCCACAGTTTTTGTTTCACCAAATCAATCCATGGGATTGGAAAAGTAAAGCAACGAGAAAGGAAACAAATCGTAACATTGCAAACAATCAAAAAACTTTATCGTCAAGATTGAAAGATGAAGACGAGTGAGAAAGATGTAAGATGATAAAGTAACCCAAAAATACAGAGGCAAAGAAACAATTGGTCGATACTTTGGTTCCCAATTGGGTCCCCATTTTGTGTTTAAAGATGAAGAGAGGAAAAAAAAGGAAGAAAGATTTAACCCCTTTTCTGTCTGTCTTTTTCTCTCTCCTTTTGTCCCTTCAACTCACACTTTTCAACTCTTTCAGCTTTACTTCATTAACGTTCAGTGTACTTCTGCAAACGATTCAATTCCTTGTCTCTCTGTGTTACCTTATTTATATACTCTTATTTCTTGAATCAAATCTTTTCCTTCTCTTCACTTTTTGTTCTTCTTCTTCATCTTCTCCTAGTTTCATGTTATTCTTTATGATAAGAATTGTCAGTCAACTAACAAACATGGAAAATGCCTTTTTTATTGAACAAAATAAGATATAGTTATTTCGAGTTTTTTCAACCTTTATTATATGAAAGGTGAAAAGAATGAGAATGAAAAAGTGAAAGAGAAAGAAACAGATTGATGAAGACAGAACTGATAGATAGAAAGATAAATATACCTGAAATTGAAGTTAGTCTACAAAATTTTCATCTTTTATTTTCTCTCTTTATCTTTTATCTTTTCCTTTATCATCTTCATCTTGATCATCGTCTTCATCTTCTTCTCTCCTGACAATTCTTCAATTTATTACCAAAATCATTGAAGCAACTCTTAAATTCCTCCAAGCAAAATAATGTTCAGTTATTTTTGTTTCTTCCTCTCCCTTTCTCATCCACTTTATCCTTACCTCTTTATCATCTTTAAATCTTCCCCTTTCATTCACCATCTTCATCAAGACGATGATAATTTTTTCAACCTTCCCATGAAATATCAAAATTATATTATTCCATTTCACCTTATAGTGCATATTTAAATATCAATTGAAGACAATCTGGTTAACTCGACAATCAACCCTGAAATGTTGGAAACAAATGAACCAAAAGTAGCTACATTTAGACAATCAAATAACCATTGTCGTATTGCATTTAAATCAACCAGCTAATTTTGACGTTGAAAACAATTTGAATCAAGTAAATTCATCTAAATTGATCAACCAAAGAGAAACATGTAAAACATTTACAATGGTTAATTGTTTGATTAATTTTGATTCCTTTTTCCTTCTATTATCACCAATTTTCACTTTCCAAATTGATTTAGTCAAAATTTTGATCCATTTTAGGGCAACATTCAAGTTGATTGTAGTTATTCATGATTGATAAGTTAACCAAGTTTGATTGCAGCAAATGTTACAAAAGGTTAATCGTCTATCTAATGGTTAAATGTCAATGGTAAAGGTTAAACATTAGACTTGTAAAGAGAGTGAAACCTCTTTAGGTTGATGGTAAACTTGTGAAAATGTTAACCAAAAAGGTTAAATCATTTCTTCTTTTTTTCAACACATTATCATCATCATCACCATAACCATCAGAATATGATTCAATGTATTAGCTGTGAATCAATTTGAAAATTGTTACTCAAGTGCTTAAAGCAAAACATTTAGAGAAAAACAAAAAAACATTTTTTGATTCACATTTATATTATTATTATCATTTCTTTTCCTCCCGAATCAATGTTGATTCAATGTTTCACCAACTTTTAACTCTTTTTTTCTCTTCTCTTTCTTTCAGATATTTCTTCAGCTAATATCATCATCTCAACTCATTGGAAAAGGCTTGTTGTGAACAAAAAAGATATCAAAGACGTCACAAGGAAACAAAAAAGGAAAGATGGCAAAGAAGAAGAAGAAGAAGAAGATAAATAAGAATGAGAATCGACTGGAAGTAAAATCAAGGGAATGATAAGATACAATCTGTTGTAAAAGTGAAAAAGTAGCTGAGTTCAGTAGATATTTTGACGAACCATGTAAGCAACAAAAAAACGGGTTCAAGTGATTTTTTATTAGCATAATGGGCTTCCCCTTTATATCATCATTTTCCCTTCTTCCATCTTGTTCAAGATGATGATGAGGATGAGGATATTTTTTCCTCTCTTGTCTCTCTGCTGTGTTGATCTCAATTGAATTACCCATTGGAACTGAAAGCATCTAAAGAGTAAGAAAATAGCATCTGAGGAAGAAGATGAGAAAAAGTAAGATGAAGAAAAGCTTATTATCTTAAATCTTTATCCTTATCATGAGAAGTTATTCAGCTTGTGCAGGTAAAGAAAGATGATGATAATGATAAAGATGGAATGAAGTTAAAATGCAAAATAAGATACAATTGTATGTATTTAGTCTATGATTTTTGATGAGAAACAAACAAACTTTGTATATCAATATTTGTATAAATTAATAGCTTGATGTACATTAGAGTTTCATTCGTCCATTAAAATGTTCAATTCTGGAAACTTTGGGATCCAGCATTGGAACAAGGATGATGAGATAAACAAAATTATGTCTTATGGTAATGATGAAATGAACAATATCAATGATCATAATTTTGATTCTCAAAGTGGTAAACTTTGATTTGTAACCCATTTTTGTTGTTGCTGTTGCTTCTACTTTTTACCGTGATTCAATTTAAATTGAATTGTAATTCATTTTGAAAGGGAAAAGTAACAAAATGAATTGAAAGTAAAATTTAATGTTTGAAAGGCAAAGAGATTTAAATTTGATTCAATTGTATATTCTAGATGTAATATCAGAATAAAATTTAGTTTCAAATGAAATCTCTACTTTTTTATTTCTTCCACTGAATCTTGTTTCACTTACATTTTTGCATTCCTTTGCAGCAACCAAGGAAAAAAAAGAACAAGTTCAGCTGAATCAGTAAATTATTCAAACTGGCAAAATAATTAGCATTACATTTGATGTTGCCTCACCAATGGTTCAATCGATCACAAAATTGGATACAAATTAGTCAGTTTGATTGATGAAAACGCTGCAATTGATGAATTTACACTAAACTGTTAAATTGAAATGGAAAGCACAAGAAAGCCAGTTGTCCAGAAAAGGATCAAGACTCAACCAATTTAAACAACTCAATCAGAGATTCCGATTCCCTTCCAAATATCAGCACTTGCAGCTAATTGTGCCATCTTATTGGATCCGATGTGGTCAACAAAAGTCGTCAGAATCGAAATATTCTGAGGAATTATTTTTCTTCTCATGGCAAATGACGACAGAATATATTTTTGATTTTAAAAGCTTTTGTTGTTTCAGTGATAATGATTTCTCGCTTCTATGGAATCTTATTTTTCTTGTGATTTTCTCATTCTCTGGCGAGTTTAGGTATCTCGACCTTTTTGAGCTTCTTTGAGGTCTTTGAAGGGCAACATTTGATGGCACAAAAGTATGATTTTTGATCTGAAAAGCTTTTATTTTTGGAATTTTTTGTCACTTTTGTCAGTCTTTTTGTTCACTTCTAATTGCAAAAGGCATTAAAAGTCGCAAAATTTTTATCTGTTTACATTGACTCAATTGAAACTGTTTGACTATACAATGAACCATTAAGAGCCCATTATAAGTCTTATAAGATTAAACTCTTGATTTTGACCATCATATCATCTGATCATTATTATCATCATTATTTCTAATGGTCACTGTATTTTGAGCATTTCAAGTCATCTTTAGCTGTTTTTCCTTGCGAGTGAAAATGGGAAAACATTTTGCTGCTCATTTCATTTCATGAGGTTAAATTATTGTTAATAGTTAGTTTGACATCATTTGAACTCAAAATGAACAGTAAAAAACAAAATTTCAACTCATCTTCACCATCATCTTGATGATCATCTTCATCTTATTTCTTATTTATCCAGAATAAATCTTGTAAGGCAATTACAGTGGACAATACAAAGGCAAAAAGATGAAATTGATGACATTAACTTGTCATGATATTTAATTTTAATTCACTTTAAAGTATCATCCTTTGGCACCAAATTTCAAACTAGACAGTTCAATTTGTCGCAAGTAATTTAACCCAAGACAAAAAAACAAGTAAAACACAGATGACATTACACCAAATATAAAATGTAACAATCAATTTCTGATTCCTCTTAAAATTGAACTCAACATTGACAACAAAAACAACAAAACAAAAAAGAGAAAAGCAAAGACTTGGAATGAAATTTTCAAAGTTCATATGTTAGATTGTTGTTGTATTAACCTTTTGTATTGAATTTAATTTCATCAAAAGGCTGGTTATTAATAAATCAAATTAAATTTTCAATCAAATGATAAATTGTTTTCCTTTTCTTAGCGTAAAAATAAAGAAACACTAACGCGGTAAAATTTATTTAACTTTTTTTGCTTTTCGCCGATAAGTTTGTCTATCAAGCTTTTCGTTGGTTTTACATACCCAATATTCAAAAATTAAGTGCCTAAAATGAGAAAGAAGAGTTCTGTTCAAATTATTGTCCTCTTCGTCGAGCCTATTTCTCTGTCTTGCGCTGAAATTTTGGCTCCGAACTGGTAACTGGAAAAATGACTGTAACGTGCTTAGTCAATTGGATTTAGTGTTTGGTTAGTTATTACTTGAAGTAAATTTTAGTTAATCCATTGGAAAATTGTGTCAATTCAATCATTGAATGTTGATAATATTACACCTAAAAGACCAAAGGGCAAAAAACAGAGTCCATTTGTGACATTTGTGACAACTGCGTCTTCTTGCAAAACAATTGATTGCATTGAAAAAAGCAACAACATGACTTTTCTTCAGTCATTCTTGTTTCATTCATCAGATAATTTTGGATTAGATATGATAATAGCTTAATTTATAATCTAAAAAGCATCAATAATGCTGATTGGAAATGATTCAATGCAATTTGATTGATGAAAAACAACTAAAAATCGATAGACTATCCACTTTTGCAACTAGACCATTGAAAAATTAGCCTTCAAACATGATTGCAGCTTAAACATATTTCAATGAACTAATAATCGTTAGATATTTTGAGAGCCATTTCCCAGAAATCTATCGCTCAATCTTGCACTTACTAACTTTATTGCTATAAATCAGATATCTTTATGAGAAACTTAATCATGTTTAATTTTGTCATCAAATGATTAATGTTTCCACTTTCAACTCTTTAATTAGAAGAAAAGCAAGATCAATTTTAATATAAAATATCAACAATTTTGCTCAATTTAAACATTATTTACCAAATATATTTGTCAATAAATTAACAAATAGTGCTTTATTGTTATAATTGATTGTTTCATGACTCAAAGTATGCTTTTGCCGACTGTTTTATGTATCTTGGTTGTGCTTGAGTTAACAGCAACAGATACACCACAATGGAGATTGTGTCTCGATGATTCTTGTCCAATAAAACACCTAGACATTCCCTACAAACAAAGTTCTACATGCAGCAAAGGGAAATCAGGTTGTTTTATATCGGCTGATGCGCCTTTTAATGGCAACTCAATCAGTTTTGAGTTGGAAGTTGTTGAAACTGGCCAATATGATAGACTAAACGAGATTTATTGGGGGCAAAACCCTGCAAATGTTTTATTTAATTGTGATCCTGTAGTCACAACAACGGCTCATGGTTACTTTTATCCGAAGATAAATGGAAATGCGATTTACATCAATGGCGAAGCGTATTGTTCCTGGTCACTGGATATGAACAACTCTTCATTTCCCTTTGAACTGATTGATCAACCTCAATATTACATCTCGCAAAGTGGATACCAAATCTATTACAATTTGAACCAAACTGTACCTGTTGCTGCAGCTAACTACAGTCAGCTACCTAAAAGTGTTGAACCGTTTGTCAAAGGTTACAAATACAAAGCTGTTGGATCGGAAAAGTATCTTTTGATTGCTAGAGAAGCAAGCGATACAACGGATTTCTTGTTAAAAGTCAATGGAGAAGATCCGAGATTGGTTCGAGTAAATCTGAAGAGCGAGATAAGTATAGATATTGACTGCAATTTTAAGGAACGTAGCGTAAAGGTACATTATAAATATGGTCAACCTCCATATGAATTTAAAGAAGCATATTATTCTACAATCGATGAAAGTGAATGTCGCTGGTCATTATCTGATCCTTTGAAAAGTAATTATGGCATTATAAAACCTAGGAAAACAGTTTATGAATTGCAGATAATTGAAAATAATATGTTTGTTTATTTTGATGAAGCAAATTTCAAAATAGAAACACCTACTTCTGCTTCCAGCTCATCAACCCTCGCCAAATCATTGTTGGTGTGCGTCTTATTTTCTGTAGTTTTTTCATAGTCGAAAATATCTTGACTTTGAATTTTAACAATTGATTATGCGAATATTCAATGTCTAAACATTTTTTAAATTTAATACAAAAAATAGCAAACAGTATTAAACAAGATTTTGAATCATTTAAATCATTGTAAACCAATAATTTATGCCTCACACATACTCGAATCATTGTTAATCAAGAATGTAAACTCAATTCAGTCAACACTGATCCTAAGTTTCAAATAAATTAAAGCTCTCTGTGATTATTGTCTTGTGTCTGTCACTATTCCAATGAAATACAATTGGCAATTAAACCCATCAAGCTAAGAAACCTAACTATTGTTGTGGTTTTGTCGGCTTTATGTCCAAGCGGACCCCTCTATGAATGAGTAATCTACGGTGAAATCAGTTTTACCAAATGTCTATTGCAATGTCACGGACCTTATTCACGTTTAAAATTGAAATAAATCGCTTAAGAAAGATTTCATGATTTTTTCAAATTGTGTGATTCACTTCTAGAATTGCTTTGCTATCGTTAAAACTTTTCTTTACCGACCGGTCGAGAAAAGGCCCAAAGTTGCAATAATAATAGCCCATGAGCCACTAATTGGGTAGCAAGGGTGATCTTAAATTGAAAGAGCTTATTTTGCAGCCTAGTGACATTATACACGCGGGTTGTGGTAATATTATCTTATTTTAAATGACAAAATTTGTATCTGTTCCAACCTGCTGTAACTTATGATATCATTTGACTATCATTTTAGCTTTTTATTTTGCTCAATTTTGCGCTTGTGTTCATCAAATCCCTTTTTCAATCAATAATATGCCTTTGATACGATAATCGTGATTTGTCATTAAACCTAGCTGAATCAAATCTTTTGAGAATAAATCAGACAATTAATCGTAATCTTATATTCATAAATCTTATCTTTATATGAATCAACTTGCATCAACGACTGAAAAACGCCTTGTTACCGTTTTCAGTGCAACTGGTTGTTACAAAAAAGACATTATTGTCACATTCATCCACAAATACAATGTAGACTCAAATGAGCGAGAAATTATTTATCTCAATTTAAGGTCTTACGATAGAATGCTCTTTGGGTTTTGGGTTTTGGGTACGAAAATCGGTTCCATTTGTGGTATTAAAAATTTTCTCTGGTTGACATTTTTGGGTAAAATTGAGGTCAAACTTAAATGGCTTTTTGTACGATTTCGGGACTAGACTTTTCTTCAAACTAATTATCCTGGTGCTTATAACATTACAAATGCAACGGAAAATGTTAAAATGAAACTCGATTCTTTTTTTGTTTTCCTTTGATTATAATTTGTTCGTCATTTTTAATCATCAAATGTGATAAATTAATGATGAATTAAAGATGAAATGGTTGTAAATGGCAATGAGAATGATTAGATTTATGAAAGATTCAGTGAGAAATGATTGTTGTCAATGTTAAAGGCTATTTCATAATGAAACTCTTGTAAGGATAAATTTTTGTGTACAATGAAAATGACTGATGGAAGACAAAAGGAACCATTTTTACCTTTCATATTTTTATTGTTCAATCTTTTGCCTGTGATCATCTTAACCATCTAGATGATCATCTTGATCACCATTAGCATCATCTTTACTCGTCTTAAACAAGGTAAGATCAATCATCTTTTCTCATCCATCTTCTTGTTATTTCCATTAATGCAGGGTTAAACTGTGAAAGTGTTTCAACAAAAGCCATTGAGAATCAATTGCTCATCAATACTATACTTTTAATCACATTGAATTATAACAATTAACTGGTTATTGTTGATTGACTTGATTCTCACAGGCTTCACAATTTATCAATATACTCAGTCACTTTTCACATTGAAACAAATTAATCGATATAATCTTGTGATTTAGCTTTTTTCCTCTCTATCCTCAACTCGCAACTTCCTCATCCATTTTTATGGTAATGTCTATCAAGTTATCATCTCAACATCTTTTCTCCAAATTTCTTTCTTCTTCTTCCTCCTTCAGTCTCACAGATCGATTCAGTATTATCATTCTGTCAGATGATTTTGGTGTTTTCGCGACTCTTCTTGATACAATTTTTGAAAACCATCTCAAGAAACTTTTCCTCCTCTTCTTCATTTCTTGTCCTTTTTGCTTCTTTCAATGACTTCAACTCTTCTTTCATTATCATCATCATCATCTTATTCATCTCTCTCTCTCTCTCTTTCTCTCCAAATAGAGATGATGATGAAGCAAACATAATATGAAGGCGACTTGAGAATAAAATTGGTTATCGATTTTGAGAATTGAAAGAAACTCATGAAGAATGAAGATAATAATACAAAATCAGATTGTCAGTGAAATATTAAAATATATTTTAGTCTAACATGCTAAAAAACACTGTTGACACTTACCATGTTTGATTGTGAGTTTACACTCAATCTGATAAACAAAATCAATTGTTAAATAAGGTAAAAGCACAAAGACTCAAAGGTTATCATTATGGTTATTTAATGGAAATGACAAATAATTTTTCCAAATCATTTTCTATCTTTTTCCATTTTTCCCATTTAATCATCATTTCATCAACTCGCCAAATCACCATTAAACATTATTAATGATTTACTAATTAGTCAAGAAAATAGTCATTTTTCTGGTAACAAATTAACCCAATCAGACAAAAGCAAAACACTTTTCGGGTCGCCACCTAATTCAATTGTAACCATACTTATCCTGTTGTCCTTTAATCAACATAGATGACAAATAATGAAAAAACTGAAAGCAAATTGATTGAATTAGTTGATGTTTGATCAACATTTGATACTAACCCAAAAAAGTCTCATTATTGATGGACATCACTGGTTAACCTAATATTGGGTTTATGGACTTTTAGGTTAAAATCTTTGAATCTTTCAAATTAACCAAAATGTCTCTGATCCAGTGAATATGATTAGTCAGTAAACCAAGGGAAAGTTGATTTTTTGATTGTTTTGCTACATTTGTGATTACACTTTGATAATTCTTGAACAGTTAATATGGAATTTTTTTGTCGATGAAACTTTTCCACCCAAAAAGTGATATTTAATGGATAAATGATACTTCATCTTTAAACCTGAGTTTTTTTGCTCAATATTAAACTAATGATGAAAAAAAGGATAAAGGTTAGTTGATGAGAAGATGATTAAGATGAAAGAAATATAATGATGTAAAATTGGAACAGAAAAAGAAGTGAAATTACGAACTGAATTGGTTATTCAAAATAGATCGGAATAATTCATGAGAATGTTCACCTTTTATCTTCAAATTTTTACCCTCTCAGCATCATTGTTCACTCTCAGCTGATTCTGGTTCTTGTGATTAAAGTAAAATGTCGATTGATTTAGCTTCAATTCAATAATTGTTGCATTCAATGTTAATGATTGTAAATCAATTTTAAGCTCAAACCTAATCTGGTAACATCTTGAAATATGATTAACTCCAAGCTGGTTGAAAATGTTAATTTTCATTAATAATCTTTAGTTTGTTGAACAAAAATTAAACAATAATCTCATGAATATTTAAATTTTACCTTTTTTTGCAATTAAATTGCAAATTTCATCTCAAATTACATTAAACTGACCAAATCTGGTAAAACAAACCAATCTTATTGTCTTCACTTTGGACTTGATGAAAAACCCTTTTTTGTCTCTATAACCAGAATTCATTGTTGATATATTCAAATGACTAAATGAAGGTTTCAACAAAATTTAATCAATTTGAACGGCTTATAATTGAATAACTTTTGATTGCAGGAATTAGAATGAAAATTGGCAAAAAAAAGCCACAAAAAGATTGAAGTCAGAGTTTAACTAACCATGTTTTTAATCAAAAATAAGCTTCTTAGCTTCAACATTAACAGCATTATTTCAATCAATTGAACTAATCAAACTCAACTGAAATGCTTAAATCAAAACGTATATCTAATAGAAAGCGATAACATGAACTGATCAATGTAAGTTGATAACTAATTTCCCAGAATTGAATTATCAGTTCACTCTTTTTTGTTCACGCCAATCAGGATAAGAATTGCCAATTGCTCAGTTGCCATGAAATTGGCTTGGAAATTATTTGAATTAATATTTTACGAAAAGACAATTGTTGCAAGTCTTTCATTATTGTACAGGCACTTCAAGAAATCAATTTCAAAACCAAGAAAAATGAGAATCGATTTTACCCAAAAATTGGAAAATTTCACCCGATAAATTCAAAGTCTAACTGGATTTCAATTTCAGATCAAATTGAAAGTTGAAAACATCCTTCAACCCATTTTTCGGTATTTACAAAAATCGATTGTAAAAACTCAATATTCTTGTAATTCCTTTGCACTCAATTTGATTTGATTTCAGGGAATTTAAATCAATAATTTATCGAAAATTTGTTTACAAGAAAAGGTGAAAATTTGAAGTTGAGAAACGATTATTTTTAAAAATCTTTACGTTTGCTGACTCGGTTTGGGTTAAAATCAATCTTTCTATTTTACATTTCTGGTAAAGTCTCGATTTAAAGTCTGTTAATGTTTTTTTGATGAATTTGGTTTACAATTGAAATCAACTTTGTGTCTTAATTTTCAAGGAATCTTGAATCTTTAACAAATATTACATTGAAACTAATTTACAATGCAATTGCAATGGAAGCTTGACTTTTCCCGGAATCCAATTTTGTAGACAATATTTTTTGCTGTTGTATTGAAGCTGATATTTTCAAATTGAATTAAGTGAATGTATTGTTGGTATTTATTAATTCAGTCTCTAACTACTTGGTGTCATTTGAGGATAATCTTGGTAAAGGTGGTAAATGGTGATACTCATGTTTTCATCTGTTATTATCCAGAAGATAGGATAAAAGGTCTCAATGCTCTTCTCAATGATTTCTGAGGAAGAAGAAGAATTTTCTCCTTTTTTTGTCTGTTGTTGTCCAGCATAAAAGGATAAGGAATTGGTGTTGAAATGAATGTTATTACTTTGCCTTCTTGTTGTGAACCATGTTTTTATACTTGACCAGTGAATGGACCAACACAAAACACAGGACTAAACCCAAAGGAAGGAAGTTATTTTTGACTTGATTTGACAAGGAAACTGGATACAAGAGGAGAAGATAAAGTTGTATGGATGTTCATCATCTTCATCATTCTGATGATTTTTAGTTGTTCACTTGAATAGTATCTTGTAATCTTTTCTCAGTTAAACTGAAACTCAATTCAATTGTCAGATGAAAATGATTATCATACGCCTTTGAGTCTTTCAATAGTTTCACTTGATTCTCTGTACGATGAGATTGACGAAAATGCTTTGCACTTTTTGGTCAACTTATCACTAAGTGAATTCATTGTCAGTCTAATTTTAGTTAAATTGATTAGCTTATTATATTTGATCCCATTTTGCTTATTCAAAAAGCTACTCTCATTGCTGATTGAAAAATATTAAGCTGACTTTGAATATCATTTTACTTGTATTGCCTTGAATCAGTTGAGATGAATCAATTTGATTTCAATTTGCGTCTCTTGTGATATTATTGCATGAAGATATAAAAAATGGCTGATTTGGTCTTTTTTGAGTTCAATTTTTTGTTATACAACTTGACTCATATCAATCATTGAAGCAGCAAATAAAAGGAGAAATGAAAATGAAAAATGAATTGAAAAAAAACCAAAATGTCCAAGTTTATTTTTATTTGCATCAATAATTCATAAATAATGTATCAAAAGAGGCAATAAAATGCAAACAAAATTTACTTAAATTGTCCCTTTTTTTGCACATTTTATTTAACTCATTTGCTTGCCATTCATCAATTTAAACACTATTGATTGGCAACTTTACTGAGGATTAACTTTGTTGAATAAATGATTCCAGTTATTGCAAGGTTTTTTGTATAATACAAATCAGATTGTCATTTCAAGGTATGTTGAACAGGATTAACAATTGAAAATGTGAATCAATTGTAAAATTGTATGAATCACGATTAAATTGAATAGCAATAACAGTTGATCAATAACACTGAACAGCAAATCTTTTTGTCTTTTAATCCTTGATTTATTAAAAGATAGGCTTTTTTGTCAGTTTATTACCATTAAAACTGATGAGCTTCACTCTAATGGTTAGTTTAATGATCTTTTGATTACTAGCTTGAAATTGAGTCAACACCTGATACATTTTTTTTTGCAATTCACCAAAAAATCTAAAGGCAAGGAATTATAGAACATTTTTTATCCTTTTTGGTAAAAAAATTGTTGTTAAATTACAAGTTAACTGCAGAATTGTTTGAAGCAACAAATTGAATTTAATCGAAATAACGATCAGATTGTAAATGATTATACAAAATGGATAAAGTTTAATATATTTTGGAAAATACAATAATTTCAAATCTTTTAAACAAGAATTAGAATTTATCAATTTTCGAAACCTTTTTTCTTGGAACGACTCAGAGATTTTAAAACTCTTTTTTTCACTTCTTTTTGCTTCACAAAACGCCTTTCTTCGATCGCTTGAAGTTCCTTTTTGTGTTTAGAAACTCGCTTATGACGAGCAACAGCTTCATTGATCTTTTTGGCTTTATGAACGGAACTGATCATTCTCATTAACTTAGAGATTTCAGTTTCCTTTTCACTTTCAATTACAGGCAATGCAGCAATTGTCTTATCCTTTTTAGGTAGATACTTTTTCCTATCTTTGTAAGGCAATTCCTTTTCAACATTTTTAGGTACAATCAATGGTTTAGGTTCAAACCTTTTTCTACCTCGTTTGGTGTATAAACTATCTGGGTTCATTTTCACTTTAATTTGTCTTTCGTGCCGTAATTGGCCTACTGTCTTCATTCCTGTCCATTTTTTCCTTTCCTCAAGAGACAATAACAAATTAGGAACTGGTGTATAAAATTTAGGTACATCAACTTTGACCCAGGTTCTCATGAAGACAATGTCTGACATCAGTATTCTGTCTTCAAAGGTACCCCGAAAAGCTCCGGGTGGTGCTTTTATTGCTTTCTTTACTTGACCACGAATTCCACTAACTGTACGAATAGCAGCTCCTTCAAATTTGGCCACTTCCAGGGTAGTGTTGAACATGCCTTTGATGAATGCAGTCTTTTTAAACACTTTCATTGGATAGCCAACTAGCTTTAATTTTTTCACTATTGTTGCTGATTTATCCAGATTGGTTATCACACCAGTTCCTGCTATCCTGAAATCTGGTAAAGATTCATCGAGAGTTTGTATGGCCATTATACCAGTTCCTTGGGCAGTTAAAGGTCCCCAAAAAGTTATGTGACAGTGAAGATGTTGAGGTGTATACTTTAATGAACGGTTTCGCATGTTATGATCCTGAATTGAATAGACAGGCATTGTTTGGAATCTTCTCCATCCAACAGAAAGAATGAGTGGATCACGAGCTTTTAAAATTTTATTGTACCAACGATGTTTCTTGAATCGAGCTTGAACATAACCAATGTTGCTCTCACCACTAAGTAAACCTCCCAGGATTATTGGACAGCTTGGGTCAAAATTTTCTATTAACTCACAAGGAACCTTATCAATATCAACTCGAAGATACATTCCTGCTCGAAATCCTTCAAATTGCACTCTCAGTTCATCGTCCATTCCTTCAAATTCAGATTTGTTCACCTATAAACAAGAACGAAACAAAAATTAGATTGTTAAAGATTAATAGAATACATTAATATAATGGATTAAGAGGACAAAAAATATTCACTTACTTTAGCCTGTTCTGCCAGCTCTTCTTTCCATTCACTGTAGAAAGTTTTTTCTTCACCATCTTCATCCTTTTCTTTGTCTAAAGTACCTTGATCATATTTCTCGTCAAACTTTCTTTTCTTTTGCTCTTTTAATCGTCTTCTTTCTTCATCCAGTTCTTCTTCCGTTTTTTCAACTTTATTTTTTCCAATTTCGTGATCGCCCATATCTTCATCGTAATCGTCAACACTCTCAGCGTCCATATTCGCTTCAAGATCTTCAAAATCCCCATAAACATCATCGTCTTCGTTTTCTTTCAAGAGTGTATTGGCATCTTCGGAGCTTTCCCATTTACCAGTAACAAAACAATCTTTAATAGATTCCAATGTTTCCTCCAAAGACCAATCTTGTAACATTGTGGAGGGAAATTTCGTACATTCAATAGAATTAAGAGTATATTCCATGTTAGTTGAATCTTCATGTCGACGACGAACAGCTTTAAGAAGTCCTCCAGCTAGTTCACCTTTGGCTTCAACATAAGTATCATCCTTGAGATCAAATGCATCACCATAAACTAACTTTTGAATATCTTGAGTAGCATTTTGTCTAAGGTAGAAAGACATAGCCGCTCTGGCAGATAAATTTTCTTTCCATTTAGATGATGCCAACTCAAGAAGATCTTCTTCATCATCTTCTTCTGAATCATCATCAAAGACGAGTTTTTCTCCTTTGTGTTCTTGATCGTCATCAAAAGAAAATCTGACTTTCCTAGATTTTGGTTTTTCTTCATTATCACTGTCGAAAGAAACTTCATCTTCATCGTCGTCTTCATCTTCCTCTTCATCTCCTTCCTCTTCATTATCTATTTCCTCATCGTCGTCATCGCTTTGCTCTTCACCGGAATCAGCATCTTCTGGGTCATCTTCTAAATTTTGTCTGGATTCTTCTGATTCAGATTGAAATTCTGATGATGAATCCTCTCCTTTATCTGATTTTCCTTTACTTATCGATGAAGAAAACAAAGTAAATTTGGGCTTTGATACATCCTGGTCTTGTGAAAATGGAGTTTCAAAAACTTTTTTAACTAAACTATCGACCATTTCTCCAGGTTTATTCTCACTACTGAGTGCACTTTTCGGTAAAGCTTGACTTAAATCAATATAAATATTATCCAGATCGAAAAGAACACCACCAACTCCAGAGAAAGGCGCGTATATTAGCTTATCTTTTTGATTAACAGATCGACGTTTTGTCTGCTTAGACTTATCAGGTAGAGGGCAAGGATCGGGTAGAAATTTTATGTTTTTGGCTTGAAAATCTCCACATCCAGGAATATGCACTTGTTGGTTATTCTTGAAAAAACTTCCCCTTGAAAAACCATAAAACGTAATGGTTCTATCACACTTTGAATTTTTCTTTAAATCTTCTTTATCTGTGATATCTTCAAATCGATCCACCAACAAATAAGGATGGGTAGATTTCCAAGATGGTCGTAATTTTAAAATTGAAATAAAACGATATAAGTTTTTGACTTCGTTTTTCAAATAATCTCCTCGGACCATGTTTGAAAGATAGAATAGTTTAACTCCAGGGTAAACTTCAGTCCAAAATCTATGTTTAAGATTTTTCTTTACAACTTTCTCCTTTTTCTTGTTCTTAAATTTATCCAAATGAGTTAAAACACCCATTATCCTGGGGAAACCATGAACTGAGCAAACATTAAGAAATTCAAATGTCTCTAATTCAAAACCAAAACTGGCATCAATCAGCAACAACGAGATATCACTAATTTTAACAATGTCAATGATGTTGTTTATACTACTATTAGATTCGATAAAGGTGATCCTCTTTTTTTTGGTGGCCACAGTAATCGGTCCTTTAATTTCCTTAATATTTCTATTAGTAATATGTTTAACCAAATTTCTTATTAGTGTTGTTTTTCCAACGCCAGCTGGACCAATCAAACTAACAACAGTCGGAGGTGGTTCAACCGGTGTCCTCTCCACCGTCGGTATGTGAATTTTCTTCTCCACATAATCAACTTTGTGGCGAAACCTTTTCTCGGCTTTTTTTGCTGATTTGAAAGCAAAGGCTTTGGATGGTTTATTCTCAGACATCACTATTTAAAATTTAATACACTGAATTAATATAAACAAGATATAACATGAGCACAAAAGTAAATTAATGGATTTAAAACATCCACATTGTAAACAGCATGCTTTTATGATTAAAGCGCATGAATTTTAGTAAACGTAACGAATGTTTTTGACACCAAACGCTAGATGGCTGTTAACTCGATGTTATTAACAGCTGATTTCGATTTAAAATTATAACAAATGTCAAATCGGTTTTAAGATCAACTTTTATCCTCTGATGTGAGTTACAATTTTGATCAAATTTAGTCCACTTTTAAACCTTTAACTTTTCTACTGATCTCTCTGCGATAACAGGTCGATGAATTTCTTAAATAAACTGATAACTTCAAAGAAAAAAACCTCTAAAACTGATAATATTGTAGTAGTTAATAATGTGCCAACCTCCAGTCCTCAATCATCTACTCTTAAAACTACCCATTTTAATCTACCATTCACTCCTTTGATACCTGACAATGTACTATCAACAGGGTTACTTCAATTGGATCCGCAGCCGTTGAGTGATTTTGGTTTAACCATTGAGGATTATCTTCGGAAAAAAGTGGAAACTGTTTCTCGAAATCAATACAAAATTTGTGAAATTATTAAAGAAACTGAATCTACATCAATATTTTTATCAAATTATCTAGATGCCAAAGATAAACGGTTAAAGAAGGTTGAAGAATCATTCGACAAGGTACAAGAGCTTTTGAACAAATGTGAATCAAGTTTGGAATCGTGCTTAACAAATATTGACAATCTCAACAGATCGCTGCCACCTCATCTTAAACTAGAAAACTTAGAATATAACAAGAAACTGGAAACTTCAGATTAATTGTTTACCACAATTACAATGGATCTTTCACGAAACGAAAATGACAAATCAAGATGAACATATTGTACATTCACCAGAAAAATTACTTTTGTATCAAGGAAATGAAATTTTTACTATTTGTTTCAAAGCTAGATGTGTAATGTAAATGCTCAATGTTTTTCTGTGAATGTAACACTCATTGAAATAGCAATAGCAATCATTTCATTGAAACCTGTCTATCACCTTTATTATGACTTCATTACATTGTATAAAGAACAATTATTCCATCTTCATGCTAAATTTTTATCCAAAGACCTTATAAAATTACTTATCTGGCTAACCTTGATTCAATTCTGAATATAATGCGGACTTTGAATGAGTTTAAACTGAACGGAGAGATAAACAGAACGACATTACAAACATTTATAATCAATTCAGTCCATCAATCAATAACAATTCTGTTCATTCCATTGTGATCAGTTTATCGTATGAGATTTCATTATTTCGCCTCAAACTTTACCGATCACATTTCACTAATCAGGGGAAAAACATGGTGAAAGTTTAGCTGCTTTCGTCTCTCTGTTTACCGTTAAATTACTGATCCGATAGTTATCTACCAATTTGTTTCCATTACATTTCAATGGTTTTATCACTTTCTATCTAGAATTTCTCAATTCATTATGGGATTATTTTTTTCAATTCAATCGACTTATCTGTTATTATCAGCAAGTTCATGGGGAATATTGAGAATCTTTGTTTCACATGTAAATACACCAAGATCGAGTGATCAGATGCAAAATATATTTTTTCCTTGTATAACTTTATGGAGCATTTAACCAACTAAAAAGACAAAATCCCAATATTCAGCAAAAATTAAATTTTGTCTTGTTAATTTTGTTCTGACTGGTTTCACAATCTGCTGAATTGCTGAGTGTTTTATACGTCTATTTTTAACTTTGAGGTTATCATGCAAACTGATATATTTTACATTTCTGAGAAATGAGTTGATAATAATTTCCATTGACAATTTGTTGCCTTCCACACCTGGGTGTATCGGCAATTAATCTATATGAGCATAAACACACTCGCTTCAGATTGTCAGCAGAATTGATAAGAAAAAGTGAATTCTTGGAAAAAAATGTCGCATGTTATCAAATATACCAAACAATCAGAATAAATTGCAAGATAGATTGTAATAACCAGATATCTGTAAGGTAGAACAATGTTAAAAAATATTGTTTTTCTGAAAGAGTTGGAAATAATTATATAACTTATTACATTACATTACTTATTGTTACACTTAAAATTGAATCTGCAGTAACTAACCTTTGTTTGGATTGATTGAGCCATGATTAAGTGATAATTAGTGTTTATGGCCAGAAACACGACAAAATCTAGTCAAAACATCAAACAATAAATTAATCATTATTGCTGTCAGTAACATCATCAGTAACAATAGATTACTAATTGAAGGAGGAGAATCGAGTAGATCTTGAGATAAATTTCATATTAAAACCAGAAGACAGGTGAACAACAATTATATTGATTCAAACGAATTGAAATAATAACGTTAAATTAAATTGCGAGCCAAAATGATGACCTATCAAGTTTTAGCTTTTGCCCTGGCAATTGTTTTTGTCGCCAACATCTCTCACATTGCTGGTGTTGCTCAAGGTATTGTTAATACATTTTCGGACCTAAATTTGTTTTACAATTGATTATCGTTTATTAATATAATTTAATTCTTTCTTCCTCAGTATTCAACTATAATGTGACTGTGAAAACCTCAGGATCAACCAAATTTACCGATCATGATGGTAAACTCAAGCTCTCTGTGATCAGCACAAATGGTACAAAGGTTTCACAAGCAGACTTTGTATTGACACCAAAGTAAGTCTATACTGGTTAATTTAATTCTAGTGAACAATTACTATTTAATTTTTCCTTTTTTTCAGTGATGTTAATCTTGCCATGAATCGCAATTACACTTCACTAATTGCATCGTTTGCTCCACTTAACAACATCACATCTGTTTACCTCCGATGGACTCTGTCTTCTCCATACAATCCATATTATGCGATCAAAAAACCATCCATCTTCTTTGATCCAATTGTTTTTGTCTACAATTACATCGATCCTAGAACACAGTAAGATTTTAATCTTATCATTCCCTATTTTGTGTGAACTTTCTGAAACCAAATCTGTTTTCTCAAAAAAATCACAGAAAATAGTCGCATATTTACTAATTATTATCATTATTATCTATTTTCTCTATCATTTTACAGTATTTCCTCAAAACTGAGTCGTAAATTTTGTCCACCAACTCAACCTATTGGAATCAAACACTCCGATGGTGCTTCATTCTATCCTTGCGTCTGAATAATTTAATTCCGTTGATGTCATGAGAAAAAATGTTATAATTAAAGAGTTTTGAAACAAAAGTTGTGACAATTTTCAATTTAAATTCAATATGCTATTCCAATATGCGAATAGTAAGGCCAATTTCGGTTAATTTTAGGGTAAAGTCTTTATAAATTATCTAAAGTGAATGCTACAAATTTTTGTGCTAAAATGACTGCGATTGAACCAAAAGCGTTTTAAATTTTCGCTCAATAAATTTCGTGATGAATACAGTAGTGGTTAGGGTTAAGTTAACAAAACAGGGCCAGAGTTAAGTAAATTTTCAGGTGTCGCCATCTCGGTAATAATTAGTTTTCAGAGAAACTAGACAATAGAGAAATGGACAAAATTAAATTCGATCTTAAAGGTACTTTAATTTATTGTTAGATGGCGACTATGAAAAAAATCTCCCCATTTGTTAACTTAACGTTAGCCTAGTGGTTAGCGTTGGCGATAAGACTGCTAATCTTCATATGTTGTTCTCTGCATCTTGGGGTTAGCGTTCGAATCTCGCCCAAGTCCTGAAGTTAAGGCGCATACAGTAGAGCTTACTCAGGGTTAAGCCCCCTGGACTATCCCATCCTCCCTTCCTGATGGATTCCCAGCTAAGCTGGATAAAGCCTAGCGCCTATGGGTCGGTAAAACACCTAGGTAGCAAGGGGTAGACGGCGCCTTAAAAGCTGTCGCGGCTGGCCGGTCCTCGCAAGAAAATCTGTTAACTTAACCCTAACCACTACTGTAATAAATGTCTGAAAAATATTCGAACTTTTCTGACACTTTTCCGTATTTGTCACACTTTCACGGTCTCTGTTTACCGATTGATTTACAAGATTTACTAATTGTATTGTAACCTTGCTACTAAAAGCTGTTATGATAATTATATTCATACCTAATATAAATGATATACACCTAAATGTATTGAATTAAATTATTAAATTAAACACAGGTAACATGGATTGTTCATTTAAAACTTTGCAGAGTGAATTTAACTAAAAATTATTCATTTGGTTGTTTTTGTGTAAATGCTGTATAAATAACCATATAAGCTATTCTTAAAGGTTTTTAAGTGAAAATAGATACGCATAAATTATCAAAACAATAATATTATGAGAACCAAAATTTATCATTATGGTATATTTGAATTGTATTAGGTTCGCCAAAAGGTCATTCGACAAAGCTTCGCTTGATTTGGCCAAAAAATTACAAAAGGTAAGCTCACAATTTTCTTTCTACCAAAACATCCGATTTGTTAAATGACATGTTTTTTTCATTTGTTTCAGACAAATCCTCAATTCTTGGATTCTCTCCATTTGAAATTAACTGCTGGAAATGGTGGCAACGGAATTGAATTTTATAATGGAATTGGTGGTGAAGGAGGTGATATTTTACTTCAAGCAGACAAAAACAGGAAAACTCTTAATGAAATCTTAGAATTTACTAGAAGTCGCATCATTTCAGCGAAAAATGGATATCACAGTGAGCCGAAGCGTCTATTACCCCAACAAGTAAAATCAACAATTATTAAAGTGCCTCTTGGAGTAACCATTTATGATGTTTCCAAATCATTAATTGCCAGCCTTGATAAACACCAAGAAAAATTGCTAGTCGCCAAAGGAGGCAAAGGAGGATCTTACGAAAGTAATTATATCGGACAACCAGGTCAATATCGAGAGATTATCATCGATCTTAAATTGATTGCTGATGTTGGTAAGTTACGAATTGAATTTTATCTAGTAGTTAACAGAATAATTATCTCATTTATTCTCCTTCAAATCTATCGATCTTATTTCAAACCTGATTTTCATTTCTTTTTTCATTTAAGGTTTTGTTGGATTTCCCAATGCTGGTAAATCAACCCTTCTTACTGCCATTTCAAAAGCTAAACCCAAAATTGCCAGTTATGCTTTCACAACTTTAGCTCCTAATATTGGAACAATCGAGTATAGTGATCTAACTAAGATCACATGTGCTGATCTACCTGGTCTCATTGAAGGAGCTCATGATAATGTTGGCTTAGGTCATGAATTTCTTAAACATGTGGAAAGAACGAAACTTTTATTATTTGTTATTGATGCTGGTGGCTTCCAATATCGACCTGACTGGCCTTTTCGATCTGCTTTAGAAACATTAATGCTTTTAAACAAAGAAATAGAACTTTATGACTCTACCATTTTAGATAAACCAGCTTGTTTGGTGATCACTAAAATTGAGAAACCAGGAAATAAATTGAAATATAAAGAGTTTTTGGAGCAATTACAACAAGCAGTGAAATCAAATTTCAATTCAGTTGATCCTGAATTAAGACCTCTGCAATTCGTATTACTTCAAGATATAATACCAATTTCATCTCATTCTGGACAAAATTTGCCTTTCTTGAAACATAAATTAAGAAAGCTAAAGTCAAGGCATTATGAAAATTATAATCCTTATGATGATGATTTAGATTTAAGCGTTTCTGCTATAATTGAAAAAAAACTTAATCAAATTATTGAAGTTCATTAAAGTAAATTTTTTTTGAGTTCGATTCATTCCCAAATTTTTGGTTGTTATTCATCATCACTGTAAAAAGAAAGCGCATCGAAAATAGTATCTCAAGTATACCGATGAAACCTTCGTGATAGAGTGATTTTAAGGCGTAATTAGAGCTGGAAAATCTGATGAGATGATTTATTTTCATATGCCACTCATCAAAGCTAATCAATTTTTCGATAAATCATGCTTTTCGCAGATGAAACACAATTTCATTGTTATTCAAAAGACAACTTGATTACCAACTAGCAACCGATGTTCATCTATTTACCTGCAAAAATCGTCTAGCAAGTGAAGTGAACGTCAGTATGTTAATTTGCTTTTCTCTGATCATAACATGTTTAGTGCGATGTTAATTCTTGAATCAAGATTATGAAAAAAAGCTGACAAGGCTAACGAAATGAGTATAAAGTAGTAAACAGAATAAGAGGGAGAAAGAGTGGCGATATTTGATGGAGATAAAGGGTATAAAAGCCATTCCATAACAGCAACACTTTACGAGTTTAATTCAAAATCTGTTAAATAAATATTTCTAATTACATTACATTTCGATTTTCCACTAAAATGCATCTCAAAACCCATATTTTGATACTGGTGTCGGTCTTTATGATCAGCCTAATCACACCTTCTACTGGTTCTACTGATTCTAATGGTAATGTAAACTGTGTGAATTGTACTGGTTGTACGAACTGTGTGAACTGCATCAATTGTACAAACTGTCATGGTTGTGAAAGTTGCTCCGACTCTACGAATTGTCGCAGTTCTAGAAACTGTACAAGTTGTACAGATTGTTCAGACTGTAAAAATTGTACCAGTTGCACGGACGCTAAAAATTGTAACGATTCCAGAAGCTGCACAAACTGCAGAAATTGTTCAAACTGTGCTAGTTGTACAAATTGTAGAGATTGTCAAAGATGTACTCATTGTACAAATGTCAGAAATTCTGCAAATTGTATGAATCGTACAGACTGTACAAATTGTAAATGCTGAATTCGGATATCGATAAAAATTGTTGGACCTTAAAAAAGCTTGTGTTTGAAGAGCAGCGGAAAGTTCCTGTCGTGACGTCTTATGTTCCAGATATGGAATTGCTGGTTCAACAAATGTCCAACGTAAATGGAAGTTAAAAAGCTTGACACATTGGCCAATGATATGTTCATCAATATCTCCTAGTCCTTTGACCCTCTCGTTGGATATTGGATCATCCATATTCCCCATACACTGTAAGGTAATCAACCATTTTTCCGTCCAACCAGTTTTCTAGACTTTACATTGATTATTTTATAATCAAACCATCATTTGCTACTTTTAAAAAAGATATTATATTTTATGTCATTATAATCGAAGACCATGTATTTTCACTTAATATATTTTTATTTGACTAATATCAATACGAATAAACAATTCCTATTAATTTTGTCTTAGTAACCGACTGTCATTTATTTTAGATTTTATTCTAGATTTTGGTTTTTCTTCATTATAACTGTCAAAAGAAACTTCATCTCCTTACTCGTCGAAAAGAACACCACCAACTCCAGAGATAGGCGCGTATATTAGCTTATCTTTTTGATTCACAGATCAACGTTTTGTCTGCTTAGACTTATCAGGTAGAGGGCAAGATTGAAACATTATCCTGGGAAAACCATGAACTGAACAAACATTATTAATTTGAAATGTTTGAAAAGTTCAAAGCCAAAACTGGCATCAATCAACAACAATGAGATATCACTAATTTTAACAATGTCAATGATGTTGATTATACCATTATACTATAAACTTCCAACAAATTATTTCATTTAAGGTTTGATAGCTAAAACCAAAATTATATAACCAGTTATATGTTAATAACTTGAGCTTCGAATATTGGAACAATTCAATATAGTGATTTGGTTAAGATCACATGTACTGATCTACCTAGTCTCATTTAAGGAGCTCATGGTAATGTTGGCTTAGGTCATGAATTTCTCAACCAGGGGGAATGATCTAAACTTGTATTATTTTTTATTTATGCTGGTGGCTTTTGAATGGTTCGAATTATAATTAAGATATTTATTTTACAGGAAACATTAAAAGATAAGTCATCTTTCAATATAATTTTTCGATCATTTACATCTGAAGTGTGTAGTCGTTATACGATCTCTAATTTAGTTTATTAATTTGCATTAGAATAATTCAATTTAACCAGGGATTTGTGCTGCTCTCTTCTCATTAAGTTTCTTGAATTCAGCCATTCTTGACTCAATCTCTGGTCTGAAGTGTCTAATAAGACCCTGTAAATAAAAGTAAGAAAAATAAATTCAGTAAAGAATAATGTGCCGAGTATAAGTCAATGTGATTTACCTGAACTGGCCATGCAGCTCCGTCTCCTAAAGCGCAGATTGTATGTCCTTCAATTTGCTTACTCAATTCATATAAAATGTCAATTTCTTGGGGTTTAGCGTTTCCCTCGACGAATCTCCACATAATTTTGTTCATCCAGCCTACACCCTCACGACATGGTGTACACTTTTAAAAGAAAAGAATTAAACAAGTTATGAATTTGAAATTTTAAAAGGCAGTAAATATGTAAAATTACCTGACCACAACTTTCATGTTTATAAAATTCTATTAATCTAGCAATAGCGCGGATGATATCTGTTTGTTTATTCATAACAATAACTGCAGCAGTTCCAAGACCAGTTTGAGCTGCCACAAGTGAGTCGAAGTCCATTAGTACTTCCTCGCAAACTTTTATTGGTATAATAGGTGTTGATGAACCACCTGGAATGACTCCCAATAAATTATCCCAGCCACCAATCACACCACCAGCATGACGTTCAATAAGTTCTTTTAAAGGAATTGACATTTCCTCCTCAACGGTGCACGGGGTATTAACATGGCCAGAGATATTGAACAACTTAGTTCCTGTATTGCGAGGTCTTCCCAAAGAAGCGAACCAGTCACCTCCTCTTCGACAGATTGTTGGAGCAACAGCAACTGTTTCAACGTTTGTAACTGTTGTTGGACATCCAAATACACCAACATCAGCTGGGAAAGGAGGCTTCAGTCGTGGTTTCCCTTGTTTTCCTTCGATAGACTCAATAAGAGCTGTTTCTTCCCCACAAATGTAAGCTCCAGCTCCTTTGTGAATATAAATATCGAAATCATATCCAGAACCACAAGCATTTTTGCCAATAAGTCCTGCCTTGTAAGCTTCCTTGATAGCAATGTTCAAGGTCGATGCTTCATTGTAAAACTCTCCACGGATGTAAATAAAAGCGGCACAGGCACCCATAGCCTTACCAGCAATGAGACATCCTTCAACTAGCTTGTGAGGATCATGTCTCATTATTTCCCTGTCCTTGCAAGTGCCAGGTTCTCCTTCATCGGCATTAACAACTAAATACTTGGGCCTACCATCGGATGGTTTATTCATAAAGCTCCATTTTATTCCTGATGGAAAACCAGCTCCTCCACGTCCTCGTAAACCTGATTTTTTTATTTCATCAATGATCCAATCATGTCCTTTGGCAAGAATCTCTTTTGTTTTGTACCAATCACCCTAAAAAACATAATTTGAGGTATAAGAATCTTTATAAAATACATAATAATAATAGTAATAATATATTTATATCAAATACGTAGTAACAAAATTTTAACTTCACGCATCAAATGTAAGTTTAAGATGTGAACGTAATTATTCAAGAGTAGTGGTAGGTTAAATTTAGATAAAATACAGATCTAACTTGAACTGATTTACATACCCTTTTAATAGCACCCTTAAGGCCCCAATCATGTTTACCATATAAGTTGGTAAATATTCGGTCTTCATCGCTTAAAGGACCACATTTAGTCTGTAAGATTTAACAAAATTATGTTATTTAATTTACAAAAAAATAAGAATATAATTATACCTTTTGAGGAGGCTGTGGTGCTGCATTAGCAGTTGTTGATAACCGAGCTAATCCATTTTGCACTGAGTTGATGCCTGTTTACAAAAATTAAAGTAAATTTGTCAATTAAATACATCGATTCAATTCATTTTAACTAATAATTTAGATTAACTACAGTATAAATAATTACCTTTCAACGCTTTGAGACCAGACAATGAGCGGAAAGCCATTGAAATCAATAAATCTTTTAATCAAAACAACCAGAACAATAATGAAAACAAGTACAGTGGAGTACCAGATACTGTCAGTAACTGGAAATAGCTTATATGCACAGCAAGTCTATTAATCGAGCTAAAATTTAAAATTAATTACAATGATTAATAAAATTACAGTCAGTTGCTGGAAAAGTCTAACAAATTAATGTCATTGTGTTGAGAATCGTTAGTTGAGTTGAATTTGTCAGAAATATTGAACTTTTTTGATAATTTCTTTATAATTTCAATTAAAACTTTCTTATAGGGAATGTAAACAAAGGGTTTGAGGGGCTATTGAATAATCTACTGACATTATCTGGTACTGACACTATCTGGTACTCCACTGTAGTAAACAAGGTTGAATATGAAGTAAATTAAGAGATGGCCCCTTAAGCAGAGTTGCATCATTTTTTAATGTCAACTTTTCACCAGAAAATTTCTTAACTTGATCCTTGTTAGATTCAATCATCAAATATCTGATTGAAATTACTGTTATTGGAATCGCTTTAATTCATTAGATTACCTTCATTAAATGCTGAATTACCACTGAAGCTTTAAAACTCAATTGACTGTGACTTTCTGTTTTTAAGTCAACTTGGAAATAAAACAACTAAAAGTAAAGCAGAGACATGTTACCTTTATCAATCAACAAAAGATCATCTAAATCATTATAAGACAATATCAGATAATAACTTCTTTGGTCGATATTAATTCATGAACCTGATAGTAAATCTGATCAAGATTACAAAAAGTTAGCAGGAAAATGCCGATAAAATGAGTATAAAGTAATAAAGAGAAACAGGATGAGAGGGAGAAAATAAGGGACGATATTTAATGACGATGAAGGCTCTAAAAGCTATTCCATAACAGCAAGACTTTACAAGTGTAATTACAAGTTGTTTGCAGCACAACTCTCGTTACATCTCATTTGAAAATTTGTTTTCTAGTTAAAATCTATTTTCTAATTCTATATTCATTTACCTTGATCAATATTCAAAATAATCATGACTTCTATGAATGCTGGTATCGATACAAATTGTATGACCCTAACAAGGTTCGTGATTGAAGAGCAGCGGAAAGTTCCTGGAGCGACCGGAGAAATGACCACTCTTCTTAATGCTTTGGCAACAGCAATTAAAGCCATGTCATCAGCTGTTCGAAAAGCAGGAATCGCCAAATTGTGAGTATAATAATCAATTCAAAAGATGAGCCAAAATAAATTCAAGTTGATATTGGTTCATTTCTTTAGCCTATGATAAATGTGCCCTCTTTTGTCTTTGTAAACAACGTTACTTTACATTGTGAGGCTTACAAGCCAAGAAACATTTTCAACTAAACTATTTTTATTTTGCTGTTTATTGTTTAACTGTTTGACCACGTCATTAAAGTTAGTTGTTAGTTAACATAGATTTAATTAAATTAATGTATTAAGTCTATTGTGTATTGATCAATTGTCTCATCTCATGCAGAAATAGACAGTGATCAAAGTTTATTTTGCTTTGTTTATTATGCCAATGAGAAACATTTACAAGCTTTTCGCAATAATCTGTTTTCCATTTGACACTTTTGTTAACTGTTTTATTTCTCATCGATTGTGACAATTGATTGTTTCATTGCTAATCTGATTATTTATTTTCATATTCTCTTTCCAGATATGGAATCGCCGGTTCAACAAATGTCCAAGGAGAGGAAGTTAAAAAGCTTGACGTATTGGCCAATGATATGTTTATCAATGTCTTGAAATCATCTTACTCAACATGTCTCCTAGTCTCAGAGGAAAATGATAATATAATTGAAGTTGAACCCGATAAAAGGGGTAAATATATTGTTACCTTTGATCCTCTCGATGGATCATCCAATATTGACTGTTTGGTATCTATTGGGTCCATATTTGCCATTTACCGTAAGGTAATCAAACCATCCTTTCCAACAAACCAGTTTTTTAGATTTTACATGGAATATTTCTAACCAAATTTCCATTTTCCAGTTGCTAACCTTGTAGATTCTCGCTCAATATATTGTTATTCCGCCCGCCCGAACGAAAAAGTTTAACGGTTCCTATTAATTTCACCTTAGTAACAGGCTTTTTTTATTTGTTTAGATCTTGTTTATCTGCTTTTCAAGATAACGAATCTGATTATCTGTTTAGTCTATCGATACTGATCTTTGTACCTTTCCCATCAAGCTATTACTAGGTATTTCAAGAGATTATTTTTCAAGGTGATTTTAGGAAAATACCATCGTGTGTTTATGTCATCGTTAATTATCCTTATCAGTTTAATTCAGGGGAAAATATTGAAATCAGTTAGTCTTCTCCGTCTGATCTTTATCACTATCATTGAGTCAACCTTCTAGTTTTTATCAATTCTTATTTAGCTTACTTGTCTATCACATTTCTGATATCCATATTGAATTGTTCAAAATCTAAGCATAACTGAACCATGAATTCATTATAAAATGCATATTCAAGAAATGAATATGCTGACTGAAGAATGTTAAATTTCATCAATTATTGTTACTTGATCTATTTATCATGGACATTTATAATGTTGATCAAAATTTCAACGATGCATTTCGTTAAACGATCTAATTTTTTGGTCGATCAGAATTACAGTCATCAATCTGTAACTCGAGAAGCATTTCATTTCCTTTTCCAATATATTCAGATAATGCAATGATTTTAGATTTCTTTACAAAAGAGTTAGCTCCTAGTAATTGCTATTTTAGTAACTAACTCACTATTAAGTAAACTATAATTTCACTAAACTCATTTCTCTTTTTTCAATCAAATCAGGTAAATCCTGGAGAACCGACTGAGGCTGATGCTTTGGTCAGTGGACGGAATATCTTGGCTGCTGGTTATGCGACGTACGGCAGTGCTACTATGGTTGTTCTATCTCTAGGTCAAGGGGTTCATGGATTCATGCTTGATCCTGTAAGTAGATTCTTGGCTGAAAAAATGATCCAAATTTTCACACTCTTCTGTTTTCATTTTCTGTCAGGCTATTGGTGAATTCATCTTGACTGAGCCAAACATCACAGTCCCTCGCCGTGGTAAAATTTACAGTATCAATGAAGGTTATGAAAGTCAATGGGACCCTGTTGTCAAAGCCTATGTTCACAGTAAAAAATATCCTAAGGTAAACAAAGATAATTTTTGTCACTTCAGTGACTTTAGCTTCAATTATAGCATATAATGTGCTATAATACCTGTTAGGATAAAAATAGTTTTGTTGTTTAACCAACAAAAAAATATACAATTCTGACGTCTATTTTGAGATGCTTGTTATTGTGTATAACTATAATTCAATGTTGAATGTTAAAAATACATAAGTCCAATGCATAATCTAAAAATATATTTTGTTCATATTTCAACCCTTTAGTCTGGTAAACCTTATGGTGCACGTTATGTCGGTTCAATGGTATCTGATGTTCACCGAACGTTCAAATATGGTGGCATTTTCATGTATCCGGCTACAAAAGATTCACCTAACGGAAAGGTAAATCTCGATGCCCTTTGACAATATTAATATGGCTTTGCAAGACTTCTGTTAAAAGCATCTATTGAGGATTCGTTGGCCTTTTAAAACATTACCTATTCAATCATTGAATTGATGACTTCCTAGAATCATTTTTATGATTACTATTCCTTCACTCAATAATGATGCTGATAATGATAATCACAAGTATAGAGTAAGGCAAGAAAGAAAGACCAAGAATATGAACCCAAGGGGATGAATGAGGAAACATTATATTGGATACAAGTTTTCGAGTTTTTAGGCTGAATTAGATGAATTTATCTTTTTTTTCTCTGGACTTTATGACTGATCCAGAACCCACAATTACCATTTCATTGGATAGACACTTGAATTCCCTTTAGTACCATTGATAATGATGTTTACTTGTTGAAAATGAGCACAAAAACAAAAGACAAAAGAGCTCAAAGTCTAACTAGAATAGGATGATTTTAAATATTGATGAAAATGAAATTATTCTGGTACAAGTAATCGAAACAAATGGATCCAATTCTGTTTTCATCTCATTTTCAGAATGTATATCTTGCCACAATCTTCATATAATACTTGCGGTAGTACAAAATCACTTTCACTGCGATACTAACCTTTATTTCATCTATTTTCCCATTAGCTTCGGTTATTATACGAATGTAATCCAATGGCATTTCTCATGGAACAAGCCGGTGGAATGGCAATCGATGGAAACAAATGTATTCTTGATATTGTACCACATTCCATTCATCAACGTAGTCCAATATTTCTTGGTTCATTTGAGGATGTTTCCGAGATTCAAGCAATGTACAAAGCTTCCCGTTGATAATACGCAAGCCAATATACAAAAGGTGCAAGGATTTAATGCTTAAAATAAAACCTTTATTATAAGCTGTTTTTTTCTTGTGGAACGATCAGTTTCTTATAATCAAGATTCATATTCAGCATTTCATTCTAGTTTCCCATTTAAATTTTGTTTCTTAATTTGTGAGCTTTTTCTGATTTTAGGTTTAAATCTGCATTCAAGTTTATTTACCTTTACTTTTACTTTTGCTAAGTTAACCCAAATATCATGCATTAATATGTTATCCATTGATCTTTAATAATTCACTTTCCTCAAGTGAAGCTCATTCAATTTTTATATAAATTCAATATTTTTGGTCAATTCATATCAATTACTTTTTCAAAATGTAAATAAAATCTCCGGTTTTTTTACTTACAGATTGGTATTGTAACCTATTGACTGAATTGACATTTAGATTTTCAAAGCAACACAATGACGGCAAAACTTTACCATGAGTAATTCATTTCATTCAAATGATTGAATAGCTAATTCAATTCATCTCGAAATAAATAAGATGTGTTACAAATTTGAGTGTAATCACAATTAGAGCTAATATGCTGCACTTCTCTTACAAGTTGTAGGTGGCTTTTAAGTGGATCCTGATATTTCAGGCAACAGTGGTTTTATATTTATGGGCTAAGAAGAAAAAAATAAGATTAATTGTTAATAGTAATTATCTTAAACGTAAATTCGGAAATAAATGATGCAACGAAAAAGTCATTATTATTATTGTCATTATTATAATGTATTTTCATATATTATATGATGAAGTAACATGATTTTTTGTGTAAAAAACAGTCAACTCCGAACATGATGATGATGACTATGACGATAAACATGATAATGATGAAGATGAGGATTAGGATGATAATGTTGATAGAAATGGAAAAAAAGATGAAAAGGCTAATGAAGCAACTGTAGAACATGGGATCATAACATCAGCTATTCCATTGAAAAGTATCATTGTTATAATTCAATATGGTGATGATGATGTTAATTTGATGTTCTCAGTTGACCAAATCAGCAAGTCTAATTAGCATCCTTTCCTTGATGGATAGAGAAGCAGATGAAGACATAATGGGACAAATAGGAAGAATTGAACGAAAATGTTAAATTGGTCAGTCCATTTTCAGTCAATGTCTTTCATCTTATCCCCAACGAAGTGCTTGACCCGCTGTCCGTCCATGACCACGAGAGACTGCACTGACCAATTCCGAAGAGTAAGCGTCGTCTAGATGTTGTTTATACGTTGGCTTCCAATGGGCAAATAAACTCAATGCTTTTTTAATCCGCGACACTGATCTTTCCTCGTTTCCTCTTTTCAACATCTTTTTGTCACTCTTATCATCGGCTGCCGTTGTAATCAGCTCTGGTTCAATCCATGATAATAATGATGATGTACCACTGTTATTACTGCTGTTGCTGTCAATGTTATACAGATTCTGTTCTTTGTTTAAGTTGAAAATTGATGAAGTCGGGGAAGATGATGTTTTAATATGTAAATTTGAATTTTGAGGAGCAAAATCTTTTGAAAATGGGTTAACATTACCATCCAAATTGTTTCTATTAACATCGACATCTAACGATGGCTCAAAATCACTATCTATTGAGGATAAATCATTAGCTGCAATTGCATCCAATAATCTTGAAGTTTGTATATAATCATTCAAAGAATCCACAGAATTTATTGAATCGGCTGGGAAAGAGTTTGATGAAGATGATGGCGATGGTGGAGGAGGAGGAGGTGGATTTAACCAGATTGGTCTGATTGAATGACACAAAGTAACAGGTAATAAGATAACAGTGAACACAAATAAATTCTTAATCAATCGAAAGTTTGGATTAATACCAGTAAATGACGTCTGAATTGGCATGATTAATCTGGTTGAAGATGGAAGGAAGCAGAAAAGAAAGGAAACCAAAACGGTTAAAATTTACATTAGCAACCATTTTAAACACCAATCAACAGGATAACAAAAAAAATGTACTTGGAGCAATGTTGTATAACCAATAGTGACTGATTAATTAAGAAAAAATCAAATTAAAAAAATAAAACAATTATAAAAAAAAATCAAAAACGTAACATAAATATGCTTCTGGTAACAAAAAGCAAGGAACCTTTTTGTTGTAATAACCGTTTGTTTCATGCATTGACTAATAGTTCAAATCATTTGTTTTGAGTCTTTATGCTTCTAGGTCTTTCCATGTTAAGTATTAAAATAGTTTTTTTTGAGAAATTTGTTTTCGCTTCTAAATTAATTCTGGATTGTTCAGTTTTACAATTACGATAAAAATGACTGCCATTCAACAATAATAAATGTCACTCCATTATCTGCTTAATTTAAATCAGATTAGATCAAAAATTGACTTTTCCACCTACACTATTGATAGTATTGATTCCGTTCATCATCTAATCGCTTTAAACGATGTATCTATGCAATAATCTGTGTCTTTAATTAATTAACTTCATTATCACTTGTCACCAATAATGGTATGTAGAAGCGGAATTGAACTGAATAATGTCAACATTTCCAAATCCAAAGAAAGCAAATTAACACCAGCAACAAACATATTGAATCCAACATGGAAACAATCTGGTTCAAAGTAACGCTTCCAAGTCATTTGGAAAATCCGCTAAAAAGGATTCTACACCAAGGTAAGAAATGATACCTGATCATCATCATAACATGGTGATGATGGTGATAAATATTTACTAACTGTAATACAATAATGAAAAGACGAGATGATAATAAAAACAAGGTTACTGTTTTATCTTGTAAAGTATAGTAGCTGTTTATTGTCTTCAACTGAATGATAACCCAAAGAACCCAATAACTTAACCAGTACACTAAAAGACCAACTCAATCATCTATAATTTTTACATTAACAATGAAGACAACTCAATGACAATTACAATTCCCGAATCAAGTGTAACATCAATTGACAATTAAACAGACGATCAAAAGACAAATATAGAAGCTACAATATATTGTAATAAAAGCCAAAACAAACCATAAACAAGTACCAAAAATGGATACATTGGATCAAGCCTAACCCAAAACCAGAAAAACAGTTTAACCCTTAAATTGGTTCAGCTTGACTTTTAACAGACTTCATTGTTAACAATTTAAATATCAATAAGAAATGAATACAACCAAGTTTTCAGCATCAATCTCCAGTCGGATATTTATAATACTTTAGGTTGATTCTGATGAACATGATATTCATTGAATCATTTAACCGCCCACTTAGAGGTTATTGCATATTAAGAAGCTGATAAATCGTCAATTGAAATGAAACCAAATGAATAAAATGAAGAACTAAATTAAAGTAAAAAGTATATTTCTTGATTCAACAATTTTCTTGTCCTACATTGAGCTCAATGTAAATAGCTTAATGCATTTCTGATTGATAATTGATAAAAACAGGTAAACATGTTGACTCATTTGTTGTTGTTTGTCTCAATGCAATGACAAAATAAAGAAAATGAAAAAAGAAGAAATTTTTTTTCTATTTCGTATCATTTCTTTCAGTTTCATTTCAATGGTTCCAAATGATTCAGATTTACTTGCACATTTAAAGGTTTTTCTTACATCATTATTATTCAACTTGAATACAAAATATTGGTTTTAATGTAAAAGAAGAAGAAGAAGAATCAAGGTTTTACTCTTTAAACATCAAAAATTAATCACTGAATCAATTGTTTACCCTTTTTTAGGTCAAACCTGAGATATTCAACTTTATATAGATATTGAGGATATTTTTGTTTCATCATGAAATCACCTTAACATTTACTAGACCAAATAAGTTTCCATTGTTTCCTTATTAACTGCAGCCATAAAACCTGAATCATTGTGAGTATCAAGTTAATACACCAAGTTTCAATCAACTGAGAACGAAACTGTTGCAAGTAATTTTCAAAAGTCTTATTACTTTCCTCATGATCAACCAAAAAGTCACCAATTTAAAGAGGAATCAAAGTTGATAACAAGGGTTTCTACAAATCTATTGAACTGTTTACTGGGAAAACAAAAAAATGTACAAAAAAATGATCAACTTCATGTTGAACATTGAATTGAAAGGAAAGTTGTTTTTCACCTCATTTTGACGCAAATAAATACCTGTTGATCAAAACAATCAAATGGCCAAGTGTTTTGACTCAACACTTTCCTCGCGTCAAGTTGCAGTTAATATTTTTCACAACTAACAAACAATTGCAAATCAACAACATTGAACCTTTTCATTTTCATTTTAAAAGTTTCTTGAAAATTTTCTCATTCGTGAGCAGGGAGTGTGAAAATGATATATTTCGTAAAATAACCTGAAACGAAAGTTGACCTGAAAATGACGAAGATCGTTGATCACAGAAGAGTAATTTTTACGATTCTTTCACTGAAAATTTGGATTCTTAACTTGCAATACTTGTAAGAAGGCTAAAACTGCAAAATCTTGCTGACTCTGTTATAAGATAAGTTAGTTTTCATATTGAAATATTGCTGCTTCCCTAGATTTTTAAAATGAAACATTTGAAATGTTTTATCGAGAGAATGAATCTTTGAATCATTTCCTGAAGATCAGGATAAACTTACTGACCTTACACAGATCTAAACTTCAAAATTTTTAGTGACATTTACTGGATCTATTGATATTTACACTCACTTCCCAAGCGTCCCAGTAATCAAGTGATAACATGATTGAACAATCATTTTCTTATTTCTTCAAATATTAATCGTTTATAAATGAAATAAAAAGTTATTTTTATCAATTTTTCAGAGCAAATGTTTCATTGTTCAAAATTCAAGTGTTTTACAAAACTGCTTATTACGCCAAAAGATGAATCACAATTGATATTGGCCAATTGGTTTGGAAATTGGGTGGGAGATGATTTTCCACTGAATAAATTTTCTTCTTATTTTTGAAAAATTTTCATGAAAAGTACAGCTGCGACTATGGCCGATACCTGTCATGAATTTTTCATGTTTTGTCCTCGTTTACAAATTTTCTTGACCTTTTCATTCAACAGCAACTACTCAACTCCTTGGTAAACCTTCCAGGACCATTATTTTTTAGGCTTATCCGGAGCTAATACGTTCTTCTCGTTCTTTTATTCAGTAAAAATACATCCTAAGAGGTTAAACCGTCTAGAATTGGCATTAAATATGAGTTATAAACATCTCTCCTCCAAAGTTCAAACGAGTCTATTTTCGATAGCATTGAAACGCGTCAACTCTAAAGTGCCCAATATATTTTGATTGTGAACTTAAGCGTATTCATCATTCAGAGATTTCCCTACAAAATAGTTTATAGAATGAAATAAATGAATAAAAAATCTGAATATGGTTTAAGATTGTCCCATTTCCCTGGTCATTCACTATTATATTGTTAAAAGTTCAATGGATTCATCCATTGATAACTTCAGATTTGGTTTTCAATCAACAAAAATATCTTTTTTCTTCATTTTTCCTTAATCTTTTATTTGAAAACGAATCAGTATAAACCAGGAACATGGCCAATTCATTCGGAAAATTGTTCAAATCAAACTGAATTTGCTATCTTCTTCAATTGCTCACCTACAAACGCATTCAATCTAATCTTGTCTTTGAACACATTCACCTAATTTCAATGAGATAACCCTGTTTATGGACAGCATTTCAACTAATGATAAACATTTCTTTCCATTTGTTGGTGTTAACAACCATTGACTTGCAATCCATTCTGATTGACATAAATACAGGTTGTCGATTTACCATTATTTGCCCTTAATTTCACTCATTATTGACCTGAAATGAAAAATGAGAAACACTATCAATTGAATGAAGACCAAAATAGGAGTCAACAAAATCCTATTTGGTGCATTAAAATTGCATCCAAAGGTATTTCAAGTAATCATAATAAGATTTATTTAATACCTTTTAACAATGGGTTAACACTCCATGAGACTATCAATCTTTCAACATTTCCAGGTTTATAGACTGATTAAAGGATTTCAATGAAATGAAAAGTCATGGTATTAACTCTGATTATTGTTTATTTTCAACACTCTTCACCAATCTGATCAATGAAAGTAAACAACATCCCAACATCGTACATTAATTATTAACTTGAATTACAGTAATTACAACAAATCTTGCCTTTTGGTCAACAACATTTTCCCACTTTTGACCTTATTTAATTGAAATTAATCTTGTGACTTTTGCGTCCAAAAACAACTCCATTAGTGTTATTAATTGACATCAAATCATGTTAATATTTTAAAATTAACAGTTAAATGTTTAATTAAGTTAATCAAAGGGAAAACTGTAAACCCAAAAATATCATTAAACATTGGAAGCAAAAAATGGGTGAGAAACAACAAAAAATGGTTAACATTATCAATTGTAATGAATAAAAGGTTTGCTTAAAAAAATGATTATTAATCAAGTTAATGGTCCTAATCAACACCCAATCTAATTGAGCATTTACCAGTCGAGGCTTCAATTGTCACCATTAAATATGAACAAAAGCATTGATATTGATATTTAACTTTGAAGTTGGAGTAAAAAATTTTACTACATTTTTGGGTTCTATCATTAAAATGGTAAAAATAATCATTACATTTGTATTATTGCTTGATATATTGCTTCGGGTTTAATGACACATAAATAAGTTAACTTAATGTTGGCTAAATTGTATAAAATATTGAAAGTTTACTTCAATTAGTCGTTTAATTTAATTCAGTTAGTTAATTAAATTGAGCTGAAGAAAGAGTTGACCAGAAAATAATTGGCAAAACGATGAAGAAAGTTACATTTCAAGGTAAATGTGCACTTAGATGAAATATTACATTTTCATGAATCTGGTTGAACTCAGTTATTCAGTTAAGAGACTAGATTTTAGTCTAATTAAGTAATTTTTTCAATTATCCAATCTCATGTTTCGATTTTAAGTCCACAAAATGGGAAACCTAATGTAACCCAAAAATTTGGTTCATTGGGTTAATCTTGAAACTATCATGTTTCCCTTTGGTTGTCGATTTGATTATTTTTTAAACTTTTACTGGATGTGTTTTATTACAACTATAACGTTACTTGTCAATCGAGAGTTTAATTTTCACGAAATTGATCTCATGAATTAACCTTGCCATTGAATCTGATTATTTCATTATTATTCAATTTTCTGGTTGATCGTGTTCATCAATTCATTGTCAACTTTAACCATCAGTTCAACGAAACTTCAATTGCAATAATAAAGTTGTTTATGAAAAAAAGGTAAAAAATTTGTCATTTGTTCATCAGTGAAAGAAAAATGATACAAAATGAATGAAACTGAATGCTTTCAAAGCAACAGAGAGATTATCAAATTATTGTAAAAATTTGCTTTATATCAAGTTTCGGTCTTTGAATCAAAATTTTCTCAAATTATAATAACCGATAATAAGTAATACCTTTGTTGATTGAATTTTCAAAAGCTTAATTCAAAATCTGTTTACGATAATTTCCTTTGATAGCAACTATTGGTTTGATTTAGTTGAATTGGCAGTTAACTCCGAGAAAATATAAAAATTTTGATCTTCATTTCATTTGTGTTTGGGTACTTTTCATCAATCCTAAGTTGTTACTCGATTTGAATAGAAAATGTGAGTAATGTAAGCCAATTTATCAACTAATTGTTAAGCTAATTATTAATTTAAATTGATTAGTAGTGATTAGCATGGATCAAAGATTAACAACGATTAGAGAAAAAGACGTAATGAGATCACGCGAGGTAACCTTAAAGAAGGTTAGAGTTTACTGAACATCTTATATTTTCTGTATTGGATTTGCATCGATTTATTTGCAGAAACATTTATTAATTTTAAGCGTAAATTTACTTGATTGCAATTAACTCAGTTGTCATGAAAAATCGTAAAGTATTGTATCGAAATAGGTGAAATTAACAAGAAAAGTTAGACTTCCTTATTTGGATCTAATTGCTATGGAATGGGTTTTCTGACCTTTTTTTACTTAAACACTTGATTGCAATTATTTTTTGGTTAATCATTAGATTTACCAATTTTATCCAACAATTGAAATCTATCTTCTTTTCATGATGATTATTACCATCATTATGTTGAAAAATGATTGTTCAATGAAAATGTAAGATGATAGCTGAATCGCTTCAAAGATTTGGCAAGATTTGAACAGATTTTCTCTGAATGAGGAAAAAACACAGAAATGAAATTTGACAATTGAGTTAATTATAAACATGATAATCATATAAAGAATAGTTTCATTGGAATAATCATGAAAGTCTCAATTTTCAATGTTAATCTCTACTGGCTTTAACCAAATCCAACTGAAAGTAACTCAATGTTAACCAATGTTGGCCAATTTATCTGGTTGATTAATGTTTTAACTGATTTTTCTGGCTAATTGATAAATAGTTGATAAAATGTAAAGTGAAGGTAAAAGGTTGGAAATAAAGATTCAAGTCAATATATTTTGTGGTTAGACCCGAGATTAGAGAGTAAATTGTTTGACTTTTTGCCTTTTCTCATTCACTGATCAATTGATTGAACATTGAAATTTGTTGATGTCAAAGGCAACCAAAACAACTGTAATGAGTAGGATTTACTGGGTTAAAGTGAAGGGAAGGAAGGAAAAGATAAAAGTGAAACAAAAACAAATGTAAATATTGATCAATTTGAATTGAAATAAACAACTTTAATCAGTAAATAATCAACTAAATTAAATCTTTTCCTTCCTTCTTTTGTTTTCCATCAAATGTCACCCAAAATCAATCACAATTTAAGCATTCCAATTGGAGTTAAGAAACTAAACTTTTATCATTCATTTTCCCTCCCAGATCAACTCCAAGCATAAAGTGAATGGCAATCATTATCAATTGAAAATCAATCAATAAAGCTAAATTGAATCAAAATTGCAATAAAATGATTGAAATTTGGATTGATATTTTGACAAATTTGATAAGAACAAGCAACAGAAAAAAAAGTGAACAAAATAAATGTCAATCCAATTGAAGAAACATTGAATTGTATTTACCTTTTTTTACGTTGATTAGAGGCTAGTTGATGAAACTGCCTTTAATAGAGTTTGTAAAGTCCGTTTAATCGGTCAAATACACAATCAAATTAAATGTTGACTTTGATGGTTGATCAAGTGCAAGTTAAGACAATAAAAAGGATTGTTAAAGTTGAAGGAATCACAAAACACTGAAGGATGACACAAACCAAACTAAACTGTTGCTCAGGTAAACTTGATCTTTGGTTAAGTCTTAGTTTCATTGAATAATACAAGACTGGAAAATAAAGAGAGTTACTTGATAATTGTAACTGTATTAGGCATGTCTACATTTTATTGTAAACATTTACTCTTACCATGACATTATCATCAACCTATCATGTTACCTTAATCAGTCAATTAATGTCTCTTAATCATATATTGAGATTCGTTTTCGATTATCATTTTATCTGATCAAATGTTCCATCGGTTTGCTTCCAATATTTCATATTTAATTATAATCTTCTCTCATAATCATTCACTTCTACCTTGTAAATTGCCTTGTTGCACATGATTGTGATTAATGAATGTACTTTTTTTGCTTGTTCATTTAAATCATTGAGAAGTTAATCAATCTCTTTTTTTGTCGGTTAAACAATCAACCTCTTAATCACGTTGAGGTAATCAAAACACGACGAGAATCAACTCTAACTCTTGACTTTTGAACAACGCGTTTGAAATTTACTCTTTTCTCATTTTTATTTGGATTCAAGCCTTTTCTGGTTTGGTTAAGGCTATTGATTAAGTTTGAACAATTAATGATTTAGTTAGCTTTTCTTCGACTTGAACTTGACTCAGGTTGAATTTGGGCTGAAATTTACAGCCAATCAGTTCGAATGCTGTGAAGAAGCAAAATGTTGATATACTAAGGGCGATACAAATGTATGAAAAGGCTAATGGGTTAACAGAGGCAATTGCTATGTGTGCGATTAAAGGTGGATAAATGGATTCACCGATAATGGTGCCAACAATAATGATGGACGTTAAGTGGCCTGAAAGGTGAAGACGCCTTTTAACGTTGAAAAATACCAGTGGAGTGAAGGGTGATAGACCAATGCCCATGAGAAGAACGGAAAAGGCCAGACCAATGGTGGATGGATAAGTTAAGTAGAGGCTGGTTCCAGCGATTAATGTTAAGGTTAGATGGATGTACATTAGACTACGGTTTGAGATGAAGTTCATCAAAATTAAGGCAAAGATGCGTCCAAAGGAGTAGACAGTCCAATATGCTGTGGACAAAAGGGCGCCTGATGAGACAAGAAATGGTGATATTTAGTGTAAGTATTGAATTATTAAACGGATTGATTGGAAGGATTGCCAGAAATGATTTGATTGTTGGTTCAATAAAACGTTAATAAAAAATAAAAAGCAAAATAAAATCAACCTAAAATCACAATTGTTATTGAATATTGAAATTATGCAAATGTTTTCTAATTAAATTGTAATTTATTTCCTAACATCTTTTGATCATTTAAATGAATTTCAGGCTAATGATTTACATATACGAATTTTTCTGCTTAATTGAAGTTAATTGGTGATCAAAGTTTAACTTGTTTTCAAGCAAAATTGAAAACATTGTATTTATTTTTGGGTTGTTGAAAGTTAATGTTAGATTTGTTTATTATTTATGAAATTGTGATTGTTTTGTTTAATTAAAGTTGTGTAAATGTTAAAATTTAGTGAATTATTAACTGTAATAGTGTTATGTTTTTGTGCAAAAAGGCATTTACCTTGTGATTTAGTAAACTTTAAATCCGACTGAACTGAATAGCTGAGCAAAAGCAAGCCAAATCCCATGTTAAGCCCGGCTCCTGAGTGACTCAATAAGAGGATCAAAATTTTAAGGATAAGCTTTGGTGTAAAGGGTAACTTTTTTTCAGGTGAACAGGCTGATACTTGAACAATTTTTTCACTCCGAATTGGCTTATTTGTTGTAATAAGTACAATGAATAGTACATCCAACAGCAGGCAGATGAAGGCAAAGGTTTCAAAGGCGTAATGGAGGCTCATCTCGTCGGGGTTTTGATGCATTTCACTGGTTGTTTGGTTGAGGATCAAATCATTGGGTGAGGTTGGGACAAAGTCAATGAGAAAGGATTGAGCCAGTAAAGGTGCCAACAGAGTACCAAACCCGTACGAGAATGAAGTTGAATAGATCATTGGTGACCATTTGTTTGTCCAAATGTTGATTAGCCAAAGGTTGGCAGCTACAATGAAAGTACAAACAGATTGAACAAGATTACTAATTTTGGGTTTTTTTACTCAAGTGTTTGGTCTTTCAATTTACAAATTTATAGATTTCATGCTTTTTTTGACCTTACAAACTTCCAAATTGCCCAAACCAAAACCAGAAAGTCCAAGCCAAGGAGCCAGAGTCCAAAAAGATCTCATCCAGGGAAGAAACAGATTGGACAATCCAACCAAAAGCAGAGAGCCCATAGGAATCCAAACAATTGGTATATTATCACCAAGGAATCCACCTAAATTTGGAAAAAGGCAGATTCTATTTAGATAAGGTTAAACATGTTTTATTGAAATGATTGATTTGGGTTGATTGGTGAAAGATAGGATTGAAATTGGTTGAGTTGTTGGTTGCTCAAGACAAACAACAGGTAAACCTGGTTGAAGTAAAGGTTAACTCAAAAGTCTTACAGCTATTTACCCAATCATTTTACCAGTCATTTCATTTCAATACTGGTAATGATTAAATGTCATTTTAAATAATCTCAACTTCATCGGATCAAATGGTTAATTAACTGGTAAACCGGTAATTGTAATAAGTAACTATTTAACCAGACAATTTTGGATTCTTCTGATCAATTTTGATTCCCTTTCCAATGTATGTGAAAAGGTTTCAACAAAAATGATGGTAAAGAGGCCAAAATTAATCAAACCCAAAAACGATACTCTCATTGCTGTTACTACCAAAAGTATTTAAAACGCAATAAAATCAACAAAATATCATGTAAATCTAATGTAAGACTTTAAACACAATGAAACTTCAAATTTTCTGTGCAGAAATTAAGACTCGTTGATTAAGCTAAAATTTGGGTCAACTGTTTATTTCTGCAATGGATTACAGTGAACTTCAATTCTGGAAATTGTGAGCTATTCTGTATTCACTGGATTCAAGGAATATAAAGTAAATACTTTGCATTTGATCGATTCTTTTGATTAAATTTAACATTTGGAACGGGTAAAGGTTGGAAGATTTGTTGACAATGCATTTAAAGATCATTTCAGTTGTTATTTATCCATTTTACATAAGCTATGACAATGAAACAAACTATTCACTTTTGATTGAAACTGAGGACGCTTTAAGTACGTTTCTTGTTGTGTTTTTGTAACATTTTATCTTACATTTGACTATAGCCTTTAACCCATTATTTATTAATGATAATCAGATGATTAGCATATTTTAATAGAGTCTATCTAAAGCTACGACCACTTAGGCAAGTCAATTTACTGAATTGATGTTATTACAATGGAGGAAATAAAGATATGAATGAATGAATAATGATTGTTCGAGTTTTGATATTTTCAATTGAAAATGACGCCACAACTACATTATTCATTGCCTGATAAATATGTTAAGTTTAATCAACAAGCAGATGGATAAGTTCAATAATAAAATGTTATCGGTTACGTGACGTGAATAAGAGTTTCTCACCACAATTGCAACCTATTTTGCATTTTGATAACAAAATTATGTCAAAAACCATCGAAACTCCAGCAAATTTTATTAGAAGTTTTTCAGACTTTCTTCCGTTCATTTAGAGATTGGAATATTCACAAATTTTCTCATTTCAAATAAAGGTTTGAATAAACACAACAAGACTTGTTGAACACATTTTAGCTCAGAAAATGAAAATTGAATCTCACACACTCACAGGAAAACAATCTCATGACTTCAAGATTCCTTGGAAACAATTGTCTTCTGTATTTGCAGAACTGGTTAAAACATTTCGGACTCAATGATGGGATTGTCGATGACACTTATGATTAAGATGAAGGTTTTAAGATGTAAAGTGTATGAAATTACCCGAAATTGATCCAATTGCATATCCAACTGCCCGAGCCGCGATTATGAAGCTTGATTGTGATTTAGACGAGTTGGCACTTATTTCAAGATCAATAAGAGTTGCACCTAAAAGGGAAACTCCACAACCAGTGGTTATTAAACTTAAACAGATGAGGACACTTTTGATTAAATCATTCTTGTCCTTTTTCCAGTTAATTATTGTCTTCATTATGGTTTAGAGATGAATGGCAAGAGTAAGGTGAAACAAGATTTCAATTGGGAAAAATCAAAAAATTGAATTAGTAAACTTGTCTTTTCGGTTCATTAGTTTAAATTGAATTTATTTCTTTGCGATTAATAACTTTAACTTTGAAGGTAATTTAAATTTGAGTTACAACAGATATAGTTACAACAGTTACAAATGATCAACTTGTAGCCATATTAATCAATCAAAAATATAAATAGGAATTTAGAAAAAGGTAAACTTTGTTTACTTTGAATCAGCTCAATGATCGTGGTTAACTTGCCCATGAAGAAATAATTCACAGTTAATTAGTTGAAAGTTGATTAGAGAGGGAGAGTTAGTGAATTAATTAGTGAGATGGAGAGACATTAAAATAGGTGCTAAAGTGGTTATAATTTTCTTGAGCAATCCCTTTGCTGCTGCTTTGATCCAGCCAACTTGAAGGCCGCTAAGATCCTGAAAAAAGAAGCTTTATTCTTGATTCTTTGCTGCTGACTTCATCATCATTTGACTATTAAAAATCTTGACTTCATTTCCACTCATACTATGGATACAACTTTCAATGTTGAATAAAACAGCGTTCATTTGTGGCCAACAGAACCTTCAATTGTTGCAGTCACTTTCCATTACTCTACGATTCCCATGTAAATGGTTTGTTTACACTTTTCCTGATCATTTATTGTCTTTTTTTAATTAGCAGCGTGAAACCAATAGTAAGCCAACAACACATTATACTGTCGATATTACTTGCAATTTTACGCCTCAAGCTTACAATGAAATATTAATTAGTTATCTGGAATGATGAATGAATGAATTTTGCCTTATGAGTATTTCAACAGGCACATAGAAAAGCAGACTTGGGTTCACCTTGAAATTACAACAGCGAGTAGTATTTAATTCAGTTGGCAATTAAATCATCTTGTATCTTCCGTCTAAAGTTGAGAAATGTTGGGAAATGTTTGTGAGCATATCTAGAAACTGAGAAACCATGAGTAGTCTTATAACTTGTTGAATAATGTCTATCCAGTTCCTATATGCATCCTTAAATCGAGGTTCAACATCAATGGGCTTCCTTGTTTGATTGTTTCAATTTTCATGGGGGTCTTTTGATTGATTTTTATAAAGGGAAACAGCTCATGAATTCACAAATATTTCATGCTTAATCCAGTTGGAAGTGTTCCGTTGGCAAAGTCCATGATAATTAGGAAAAGCGAGGCAATCAGAAACATCCACTAAAAATAAAAGAAACAAAAGTTATCTGATCAGTTATAAATTTGTAAGAACATTTGAAGGTTTAATAACCTAAATTTACCCATTTTAAATAATCAAAGTATTTAATTCAACACAATAATTTACATAAGTTGTTATTGTTATTATTAACAATCGAGTTTATCCATCAGTTCAACTGTAAAAAACTTTACTATCGCCAACTCCATCTATTGACTGAAATTACAACTTTCTCGATTTAAAATATTTTGTGATTTTCGTTACTCTTAATAAGAGTCTCTTATAACTGTTAATAAACCTCCACTTGGACGAAAACACAATTCAATTATATAATTAACCTAATAATTTGAACTCTGTGAAAAGTGGTTAACCAATTGGAAGAGGAGAAACTTGGATTTTCACTAAAGGAGTAAGTATTTGAGTTTCAGTGTCCCTAAAATTGTTTTTGACCAACAACTCATAAAATTGAAGCAATAAATTGCAACTTACCGAAAAAAGTGTTTCGTATGTGATTTTAGTATAAATTCCTGAATAGCCAATGCTCTCTGAATCCATATAACGCCGAAAAGCCAAGATCTAAATTATGTATACATACATAAAATCAGTTTGGTTAACAGTTTTTTTCATAACATAACATTTTTTGTTTTACCTTCATCATAACAATCTTTGAAGCTTCAAATTCATTGATTTTGGACAAATTATCGTAACCACGTTTCGCTGACTGATGGAAGAAAAATGATTGGTTATTATTTTCTGACTCAAAAACTATAAATCTCAACTTACAGCATAAGAAACATCATAACAGGACTGGCAAATTTTATAAAGGACGAATAGGCTATTTGACCAAACCATAATGTAGTAAATTTTCAAATTTGAATTATTCTCACCATAAATGAATGAATAAGTAACAAACAAGAATAATGCAGTGTTACAAAAGATTATGTAAAAGGCTACTTTTCCCCAAAAACTGTCAGAATCCGTGCAGATGTCATTTACATCCAGATAGGTGTTGAAGAGTTCAGTTAACGATGAAAAGATTTGGGGCTCTTTTCGCTTCTTGAGACACCTTAATGCTGTTTCATCAATAATATCTTCAACGGAACGAAATTTATTTCCAATAACTAAGCAAACACAATCAAAATAAAGCAATGAAAAACTGATGATTCCGAGTGCCAAGAGGTTAGCAAAACAATCGATGATTACCCAAACCAAGATTAGGATACGATATTCAATAAAGGGATTTGGATCAAAGTAGATGGTCTTGATAGTTGGATAAGCTGGATACAGTGATAATGTAAGTACAATAACAACTACTGCTAAAGTCATAAATCTAATTCTAGTTTTGTATCGTATTTTTTTATAGCATTGACAAGGTATGGGAATTTCTGGTATCGGAGCAAATGGAATAAAGCATTTCAGATCTTTTTCGTGGGAAACGAACCTCCTCATGGTAAACAAAGCAGTCAGTATATAAACAAACAACGGAAATTGAAAGTAAACTGTTGTGTTCAACCAATATCCAGTAACATCACCAAGATAAGTATTGATCATCAAATTCGGGTTAACCATTGTAAACGCTCTTTTAACTAAAACAAGTGTCAATATTGTCAGGATGGTCAGCCTTTTCAATGATGTTTTTTCAGAAGACGGTTTATTTGATGGTGCTGATGGATTAGTAAGGGTTTCCAATGACACACCCTTGTTAGCAGCATCCCGAACTTTGTCAATCAAACTGTTGTCAATCAAACCAAATAGTTTTAACCAAAGTTCATACGGAACCTTTCCACATGGCTGATCTTGTAAATCATCTTTATCACCAAGACTTCGCCTTCCTTCGAATTGCTGCATCCTGGACCCTTTCAGGATAAACAAATTCACAAATTAGATGACTTGCTTGGACACTTTAATCTTGAGCTGAGACTGAGACTGATTCTGAACGTTTTTTGCTACTTTTAATCACTCTCACTCTATTTTGCTGTTCATTTGTTTACCTTTTCGTGCACCCATTTGTAATCGTTATTGTTGCCAGTTGATGGCCATAATTTGATCGATTAATTTCGCGCAAAACGAAATGTGTATCAATCACGAGATTATTTCCATTAGATGACAGTCATTTCTTAATTTTACCATACATCATGTTCAGTCTGTCAAATTTACATCCAGAGCCAAGCTGAAGCTCACTGTAAGTTTATGATAATTGATGTTTATTTCAATAATTAATGTAAAAACAGGAAGATCAATTGATTTATCTACTTATGGTTTATATGGTCCAATATCAACTAATGATAGATAATGAATCTTCCCTATTACCTTGAATTCGCATCGATTCTGCTCTTCTTTCCTAGAATTGTAATTATCACCTTTTAATGGCTCTATTTTTCTTTTCATTAGATAATCAATTAGTAGGTAATCACCAAAGTTCTGTATAAAGAAGACAAAATTGCTGAAAAACATTTATTACTATTGACACCTGTCAGATATTTTTTTAATCATAAAATCTTCTTCATTTGGCTCAATCAAGATTCGCGATTCAACCTTGTTTAAATTTTAATGCAATTCAATTGACAGCAAATAAGCAAATTATTATCAGATCCCTAGATTTGAGTTGAGCATTCAAAATTATACAAAAATGATTATATTCTGAAGACTATTATTCTTACCTATTGGCACCTATCTACAATGTATCGCAGCGTCAACTCAAATCAAGCTTTTCCAAGCCGAGAATTTAGAGGATTGAATCAGTCAGTTAGCGTTTCGTTATTTCAAACAAGTACTTTACTCTTTTTAGAAAACAAATTTAAATTTACAACAGATTTTTATCGAAGAAATTTGTTGATGTATCAGTAATTCATTAATCAACTGAAAAGACTAAATTGCATTCATAAGGAACGGAAAGAGCTGTTAAGAATTATTGTCATGGGATGAAATAGCAATTGAATTATTTTTAAATTAATAGCTATTTCTTTGGTAATTGACGTATGTAATCCTGTAAATCTAATAGAAGAATATAATGATAATATCTTTACATTATTGATTAATTGCTCCATTTGATACATTGAAAACAAATAAGGATTTACATAATTGACGTCTGGTTGTTTCCATTTGTTTTGTGGGATCAAGGAAACAAGTTTACATCAATAAAATTATTACAACAATACATAACAGCTAACATTTTTAAATATGAAAAAAAGGTAATGTTTTTTGGTGAATAGCTTCGACTGCTTAATTAATCACCCGTTTGTCACCTGTACTATTCAAACAGCATATTGAAACAAGTCAGATTTTTTGGTTAAATTGCAAAAATCCATTGAATCAATTAGGTTGATGATAATGATGATATCTTTTTGTTGTTGGATAACACACATGTGTAGTTTACATCAGGCTATAATTTTGGGAAATGAGGTTAATTATTTTTGTTTGACTGGATAATTGGAAGAAGCTTTGATTGAAGATTCCTTTGGACAAGATAAACTATGGTTACTTTTAAAGGCCAAATACTATTGCAATGTTAATTGTTTGAAAGTTAATTAGGTAATACGTGGATGATGAACATCATTATTCTCATCATAATGTGTATTGAGCATGAAAATTATGACAATGCCAACAGCTTTGCGACTCAAAATGGTTAACATGAACAAGCTTCCAGTTGAGTGTCCCTTCAGTTGCTTTACAAATGAAGTTGTAAATGGCGAAAAATTTACAGCATGAAGTAAGAACTTGAAGAAATGAGAAATTTCATCTGCATCAGCAAATTGCAATCTTTTGGAAATAATATGGATGAGTTTGTGAGCTCAGGCTCATCAGTATTGCTTTGGTAGTTTCTGTATTTGTAATTGAATTTTCGGTGGCTGGATTTGGATCATTACTTTATATTTGGATCATGGAAATGGTTTACTTTTTTACAATCATTTAGGCAGAAATCAAATGTTTAAATAAATCGTCATTGGTAGTAAAGTGAGGCCACATTTTGACGAAGAGTAAATATTTGATCTGTGGAAAAACAAGAAAAGAATACATGAGAATCAACAGAATGAGGAAGAAAATGATTTCAATTGAACAGCATTTTAGGAGGCCTTGAAGTGACTTGAAGACGTTATTACCTTCTGATAAATTTCCAATAGCTGATTGTTTATTCAGAAACTCGAGGCAAAATTTTTCAGGTAGACCAAACTCTTTCATGTAATAAGTGAATGCTCTGTAAATGAAGGAGAAAGATTAGATTATTTTAATGAAAGTAATTTAAATCGAATTCAATCAAGGATATTGAAAATATCTATACTCAATAAGGTGAGATTTGTTTTGATTCAGATGTGTTTTAAAAGTCTAAGAATATCCAAGAATTGTTTGGATGGAACTGGTGTATCAATAGAAAGATTGATTATTTAATTTGGACGTCATTAATAGATCAAGGTAATTAAATCAAGACAAAGATGACATTTCCCCTCATTGAATAGCAATCTATTCATCTTTTAAATCATCAAAACCCTTTTTTGCACAATGGAAATGAATCAAGAGAGAAAATCAAACCTGACGAACATCAAATAAAACAAAAACCGCTTGATAAAAACAACATCATCTAAACGCTATAAAATGCTAAATATGATTGCAAAAAGAGTGTTAATGAGTTTAAATCAGAATCAACTTCAATCTTTGCTTCTGGTCGAGTTTTAGGTGTTAATACATGTAGATCAAATAAGCAAATTGACTTGTTAGTAAATTGTTACAAGAAATGAAAAAAATGAATGAATGAAGTTATCCTTTCATTGTTGGATGATTACAGATGTTTAAGTATTATAAATAACTGTGAATTGACAACGAAAAGGTAAATAATTACCTGTTTCTCAATGCTATTTACACTGAAGATTGGTTTACATTTCGAGTTATAATTTATTTAAACATTAGTGGTTATAAAGGTACTGAATGACGACTAAACTGTAGACAATAAAGCTTTCTAACTTGATTTTTGAAGTCGATTCGATTGAAGTCACAAGATCAAATATTTGCCAAAAAAACTGAGAAAATTGATGAAAAAACTTGAATCTGTTCGGAAATCAATCGAGGTTTCCATCCGGTTTTCTCGTGACCTTCACATGAATTTAAGTTAATATTTTTCTCTAAAAATTTAGTATTGATTTGTGATGACTTTTTACACACAAATTGAGGCCAATTTACGAAGCACAAATGAAGTTAATTCTAGTTCTTACCCAAGTTGTCCGAAAACTGTATTTTCTTGAAGCTGAGCTTCCTCATCTCTTTCATTTTGAGTAATATCTCTTGATGATCTCTCATGGATGGGACTTTTAGCTTTCTCACAGATTACGGAATCAAAAAATGCAGCAGACCAGAACCGATGAGACCGCCATATTGGTTGCTCTTTTAGATACTGATAGAGATATTGACGATTCCCAATACTGTTTCCACGAGAGATTGAGCTTTTTCGTTGTTGTTGGTTTGAGTTTGAATTGGCTACAAGCCCAGAAGCCTCATAGTAAAAGGTGAAACACATGTTCAATATTGTCTTGGCTGGCGAAAAATCGTCTGACTCTGAGCATTCGAATAAAATAATTGCGAAATATTGAACAAGGCTGTAGAATGTACTCTCAGATACATGTTTATCATAAACTCTCTGAGAAATCAAAGCAAGATTTGGTCCAATGCAGGGTTACATCAATGACATTATTAGGGAATGATTGGGCGAAAGATATCCATGTGAAGACCACATAAACGGAAATAGATTAAAGTAGATGGGAAAAAGAGAAAAATGAAATTAGCAATCAAATTGAAAATTGTTCATGAGGGAAAGACTTACCTTCTCATTTATGAAACGAGAAAATAGCAATCTTCCTTTACCTGTTCGCGCATAAGCTCCGAAAAGAGCTTTCTCTTGCAACGTTATTGATGAGCTGTGGAAACATAAAAAACAGGAAATGAAAATTTTGTTGATTGATGCCAGAGGTTGGTGTGAATCAAATAAAGTGATTGTTAAAAAGAACTATTTTCAGTTAAATATTTATATACGATTATGGTTACCTGTCAGAGAATATTTTGTCCACAAAATTTTCCATGAATCTTCTGACTTCTTCCTCATCTTCAGGCTGATTATCATAGGTTGTACAGTTAGATGCCCATGATTGTACAGAAAATTTGATGGATGAATTGGGATCAGAGAGTGGGCAGTTGGAATGTAAACTATGAAGATTAAGATCACCCTTTTTTCTTGGTACCATCAACACCATTCTCTCAGTGTTGATTTCATCTTCGGCTTCTGATGATTCTAAAGATGTTTCCTGGCCGCTGCCTATTCCAATGGACTCGCCAGTTCGGTAAGGTTTGAGAGTATCATGAAGCTCTAGACTACGAAGCTCGGCAACAGAGACACAACTAGAACCACCCATACTTTGACCACTGTCCAAAGTATCTAGGGAATCCATTGAAGTATCTTTTGATCGTTGCATTGGGGATGATTGAACGTTTGGAATTGAAACCATCTCTGGTTGGCCAAATATTGATCTTATTTTAGGTCCACGACGTTGCTTATTAGTACATGGAGATCCTGAAGTAGATCCAGCGGGAGAATTATTATTAAGACCTTTAGAAGGATCATGATTTGTACCGTTGTCAGTAAAACTGGACTGGAAAGCTTCTAATCGTGAGGATAAACCAGACAATAGGTTATCTTTAAGACCCCAAAGGCTACGAGAACCGAATATGGTATTGGGTTTGGTGGCAGAAGATGTTGTTGAGTCGGTTAGAGTTGATGGTGATTGTTGTTGACAGTTACTTGACATTGAGGTGGTCAGAGTTGGTGTTATTTGAACAGAAGAACCACAAGATGATGTTTGAGAGGAAGAGGCCAAAATACTTGATAACCTGGTCATTGATGGATAATGAATGCCGGTTAACTTGTCAAAATCACTTTGCATTAAGGAGAGATATGATACTTTTAACGGTATTAGAAGACAATATAATTATTAAAGGCAACAAAATAGGACTATCGATCGAAGTATATAATTTTGTTTACACTGATACATACATATGGATAGCTTTGATTTGCTTTAAGGTTTAATCAAACCTACCACGAACTATAAGACAAGATTTAAGTTGAAACAGAAGACAATAAGTGATGAATCTGGAACCATCAAATATCAGGTTTGTTTTGGTAGAGCATCAACAGTGACATGTAAAGAGAAGGCAATGATGAAACACTATAATCAAGAAGTAACCACTTTTGATTGGAAATATTAAGACCAACCAAACAAATAACCAGCTAAGTTTAGCTTCAACACATCACCATTTAAAGATGTTAACTGTTGCCGGTAAATCCAATGAGGCTGGTGAAGCTGATGGAATCAAGTTGGTGATGATAAAAATACCAAACAAACAGTTACACTGTATTACAGTGACTGTAAAGATTGAAATGAAACCTGTTCAATAGACATGTTCCAATCCGATTTATAAATCGATTATATCGATCTCAAAAAATTTCGAAATTAACTCATCTCATCGTTAGCACTTTTAATGATCCTCTGATCATGATAGTTGACTATGAATATGTAAAAGGTTTAAATTTTAGATTCATTGCATACATTTTTCGACAGCGGTGTAATTTTGAATGAATTTTCGGAGACAATGTGAAAGAATGAAATCGAAAGTACTGCTAATAATATCAAATAATTCAAAAATTCTTGAGTAGACATAAAATTAGTTCAGTTAATTTTTAATCATTTATTAGACCAAGTTACACGCTTAGTCAATGATGAAAACAGAGGAATAAAAAACTGTAGGAGATTTAGGTTTAAGCAGGTATTTCTTTGATGGCGTTTTCAATTTCTTCCTTTGATAACATTCGATATCCTGCTGCAGGCGTAATTATAGCTACTTCAACATTAGATGAATTTAACTTTTCTTCCATAACTTGTTTCAAAATTGTTAATAGTACTTTAAGTGCAGCTGTTAATGATAGAGACTGAAAAAAAAATAAAGTAAAATATTAGTTAAAACCAATACCAAATTTAAAATGCCTAGTCACAAGATTAGGAGATTGTTAAAAATTTAGGTTTACCTTGGAATAAGCCTCTTGTAATGCTTGTTGAGCACCTTCACAGCCCGAACCAATAGCTTTAGCGTCACATTGGACATAGGTACCAGATGGATCCATATAAAATAATTGTGGCCCATCTTCATCACATCCAGCGAAAAGAATTGCAACACCAAAAGGTCTACTCATGGCATTCCCATCACTGTCACTGTCCCCAAACTGGATAGCTAAATTTGAAACAGATTGTGTGACACTTTCAACGGACATGTTTTCATTGTACAAGAACCAGTGATTCTGTAAAATTAGAGAAAGATATTGAAAACCGAGAAAACACAATTAGATTAAAAGTTATATACCTGTGCCTCAACTCGTGCACGGTCAACAAGGGTACGTGAATCAGCCATGAGACCACTACAGGCACATCCGATATGGGCATCAATTTCAGCAATTTTTTCGGTTGTAGCAGGCTCCATGAGAGGAGATGTGACTCGTTTCTCAACGGCTAAAATAACACCTTCTAGAGTTGCTATACCAATTGCAGTCGTACCAAGCTGATTTAAACAAAAACAAGAATAAAATTAATAACAAGATCAATGAGAAAATAAGATACAAAAAAGGAACCGGTAACCAACATACCTTAATTGCCTCAATGGCATATTCTACTTGGAAAAGACGACCCTCAGGTGAAAAGGTGTTGACACCACGATCATATTCAGATCTAGTAAGAAACATTATTGAATAATTATGTTAAATTTAGAATAAGAAATCAACTTAATAAATTTACACAAGAAACAAACTAGTGTAATTGATGAATCACTTTGAACCTATTTCTACTTAAAAATCAGTGAGAATAGCTTCTATGGGTTATTTAAACAGCATTTTCATGTACATGAACTGAAACCACAACCGGGTTGTGACAACCCAAAATATTTCTCAACTATTATGACCATCTAAATTATTGAAATTGGATCATAAAAACCATAAGTAGATAAATCAATTGATCTTAATGTTTTTACATTAATTATTGAAATAAACATCAATTATCATAAACTTACAGTGAGCTTCAGCTTGGCTCTGGATGTGCATTTGACAGACTGAACTTGATGTAGGGTAAAATTAAGAAATGACTGTCATCTAATGGAAATAATCTCAGAGTTCAAATCATAAGGTAAATTAATCGAATTGTGGTTTGGCCAAAGCGGAGGTAAATGTAATTTATTAAGAGGTATAATAGTGACGAAAATGACAAAAATATTGAAAATCGAGTTGGTTGTAATTTCGATCGTTAGATGGAGCTGGCAATGGTAAAGTTTTTTGCAATTGTAACTCTATTTTAATACGATAACAATGACAACTTATGTAAATTATTGTGTTGAATTAAATACTTTGATTATTTAAAATGGGTAAATTTAGGTTATTAAACCTTCAAATGTTCTTACAAATTTATAACTGATCAGATAACTTTTGTTTCTTTCATTTTTAGTGGATGTTTCTGATTGCCTCGCTTTTCCTAATTATCATGGACTTTGCCAACGGAACACTTCCAACTGGATTAAGCATGAAATATCTGTGAATTTATGAACGTAACCGATAACACTTTAATATTGAACTTATCCATCTACTTGTTGATTAACCTTAACATATTTATCAAGCAACGAATAATGTAGTTGTGGCGTCATTTTCAATTGAATTTCAAAACTCAAACAACCATAATTCTCATTCCCAATTAATTTATGATATTCTGGTGAAGACTTTATTTCTTTTAAAATAAATAAAGATCATACGAAAACAGGAAAAGCTCAGACCATATGAGATGGATATGCTTGAGAATGCTGGATGTTATCCTGGCTGGTCTGATTAGACTGAGACCAGAATGCCTGCCTTGGCTTCAGTCAGAGCTAAGTAACAGTTGGTTTTTTATTCATTTTATTTTTCATTTTATTATTTTTGTATTGAATTTTTCAATAAGTTCTGAGACTTTCTCAGTCAAGAAAAGAAACGAGGTAACCAGAGCCAATTTGAATGTCAAGCGATAGAGCGATTTGATTAACTAAAACTGTTTTCCGTGTCAAAGAAATGATATTTGGTGTCAGACGCTTCATCTACTTCCCTTGTCAGCTCTACCCAGCTCAGTGCAGAGTCACTGCAATTACTAAACTCTTGATAACTGGCCACACTTACTGGTGACCTCTCTTGCTGTAGATAAATGAGATTTACAAGCAAATCGAATCAGACGATTATAAGTTTAAATTAATTTAAACCGTTTTATTTTTTTGATATTGGCGGGATAACAATATAAAAGTTATATTTAACAAGTGACAATTTGGTTATTAAATAAAAAATGTAAAATCAAAAAACTGATTTGTCGGAAAAAATTTAAACCTTAAGGCAAATATGGAGTTGCTAGATACCAAACAGTCAATATTGGATGATCAAAGGACTAGAAGACTTTGATGAACATATCATTGGTCAATACGTCAAGCTTTTCAACTTGCTCTACTTGGACATTTGTTGTACTGACAATTCCATATCTTGATCATAAGAAGAGTTGTCACTTCATCAGGAGCTTCCCATTACTCTTCAATTACCAACCATTGTATCGATACCAGGATCAGCATTGCGTATCTGACAAATTTGCACGATTTGCACAGTTTCTACAATTTGTACAGTTTGTACAATTGGCGCAATTGGCACAACCTTTAGAACTGGCACAATCTGCGCAATCTGAACAGCTTACACAATACGTACAATTGGCACAATTTTGACAACCATTACTATTTGCAGTGTTTCTAGAATTTGAACAATTCTCAGAATCTGTACAATTTGCACAATCATGACAGTTTGTACAATTAATACAGTTGGAGCAGTTCGTACAGCCAACACAGTTCACACAGTTTGTATTGCCATCACCGTCAACAGTAGGCGTCATTAAGCTGACCATACCGGCCGATACCAGAATCAAAAAATAGGTTTTGAGATACATTTTAGAGGAAATGGAAATTTAATGTAATTAGAAATATTTATCAAACAACTTGAAATTAACTCGTTAAGTGTTGCTCTTATGGAATAGCTTTTATACTCTTCATCACCTAATAATATCGTCACTCTTTTCCCTCCCATCCTGTTTGTTACTTCATGCTCATTTTATCAACCTTTTCTGCGAATTTTTTATAGCCTTGATCAGATTTACTATCAGATTCATTGTTTTAAATCGAACAAACAAGTTATTAATATTATCATAGAAATGCAAATTAACATAAACATGTTTACTCACCTTTACTTCCATTTTCAGACATTCAATAAATAGATGACAATTGATCAATCCAACATAAAACACAATATCTAATAAATAACACAATATTTATTCAAAACTAATTCAGTCTTTAGTTTGGTTCAAGTGTGTAATAAATTTAATTGTAATTGTAATAAATAAGTTTCATGAAAAAATTTGCTTTAATAGCTGAACAAAAGGCGATCAAGTTTCGACTTTTACCTCGATTTACTCGAAAACTGTCCATCGAATGCATTATTTAATAGCACCAATGGCCTCAGTTTTATGTCCCTACAAATTTATCAAGTCTAAACTTTTAATTCAAATGTTCGAGTCTTTCATTTGCAAGTTTAACCAGAAAATTGTTTTATTTACCAAGAAATGGGTTGAGATGAATTTTGTTTGCTGAATAAGTTACTGCTCGTCTATTTACAACCCAAATATCATGCACTCAAATGCATTAATGAAAAGTTATTAAATTGTATTGAATTATCATTTAGTAAAGGATAACATCGGGGAAAGAATGTTGGTTGTAGGTGCTACCAATCTTAAAGTTTTAAGGCCAATCGCAAAATCAAGAGAATTGTTGATTAATTGATAAAATTATTCAATCCATGATGTGAGCCAACAATTTTTATGGATAAATAATAAGTTTCAGCTCGTTAACTCTTACGGTCCTAGACAGTGATCTGTTTAACTGACAATCGAACCATTCCGATTTACGAAAAGTGAAAAATTCTATTTCTCAAAATGAATATATTTCCTGGTTGACCATTAATTTATATCAGTACTATAAGTTTTAGACCATAATCTGCTTCCATAATCGTACAAAAAGTTTTGCAAGTTTCAACCACGAACCCGATTTTCTTGAGAAATATCGATCAGAGAAATCTTTTAGTCGTACGATTCATTTTATATGTCTCTACAAACCGAAAGAGTTTAAATGCGAGAAAAATGATTTTTACCCGTTTTTGCCTACTTGTGTCGATTTGTGCAGAAATGTGACAACTGTTTTAATTGTGTCTTTTTAGCATCAACCTGAAAGATGGAAATAAACAACAGCATTTCACCTGAAAAGGTTTTGATAAAACAGTGAGCTCAACAAATTCAAAGTTGAGACAAAGGTCTAAGCTAGACTTTAACTTCAGTGCTAATTTCAAAGTCTATATCTTACATCTCGAATTTTTTTAGACATTGAGCTTGGGCTCTATCATTACGAGTAGAAATGAAGTTGTATCATCGATGAAAAGCATGATTTATCGAACAATTGGCCAGTTTTGAGGAGTGGCAGATTAAAATAGATCATCACATCAGATTTCCCAGCTTCAATTGTGTGTTATATCTTCTTTATCATTTAAATCACAGATGGTTTCAATCACTTAAATCAGTAAACACAACCCCATGCATTTCAATTGTTTTCACGGATGCGATTCGTTTATCTCGAATAATAAACGATATCTCGAAAAATGGATTAGAGTAATGAATTCAACATGTTAATGCAGAGAAATTGATAAGCAATTTACTCCATTCGACTGGACTTCACCCTTTGAGAATGTTTTTGTTGTTCAAACTAAATCTGACTTTTCTGATTAAATTGAAACCTTTCGATTCTTATTGACTATTCATAAAAGATTAAATCACGATATAATAAAGATAAGCCGATTATCTTTCATTTTGCGTAAACAAGTATCACGTTCATCAGGTATGAACCAAAATTAGGTGACATCATATTCATAAGTTAGCGAATAATACAATTGCGATGAACATGCAGGTCTCTGCATCTCTGGCCTTTAACAAATGAAACTGTATGGTCAGTTCAGGTAAATCAATTTATATCGACTCATACTTGGGTTTTTATTCGTTACTTTGTTTACAAGGTCTCATTAGATACTTCAGAGTAGAGATTGAGTCAAGGCTGAGTTCAAGAAACTTGCTGAGAAGAACAACACAAATTCATGACTTTGGATTAAAGGTAAATCAACCAAATTAGAGATCATCTAACGAATATTTCATTTTGAATGTTCAAAATGTATTGTCAGATTGTTTCTGCTGTAGAGCAGGAAAATTTTATTGTCAATGCGTGGAGTGAGCTTGGAGTGGAGTGGGGCTTTTGATTGATAAAAATGTTTCAAAGTCAATTTTTACTTTCAAACACATTCTTCAGCCCTTCAGCCTGCTCAAGGTCAGCTCGCATCGCTGATACTTTCATTTCAAATAGCTGAGACTTTGAAGATGAAAAAGTTAGCTGACGGGTTTTCGTCTACCCTAGTAAATGACGAGTACATTGTTTGGGTATCAAGGACTAGATATTTTTGTTGGATAAATAGGATTAACCCTTGTGTTACGTGTGCTGTGAAGGAAGTTCCTTTTTCATTGGTTTTATTTTTGGCTTAGAGTTTACTTTTTTTTGTGAAAATTCTTGTGTTCGGAAACACATCACTTTTTAGTGTTGAAGCTTGTGTTCTGAGAACACCTTTGTATTCCGGGAATAAATCAGCCTCCAAGAGACTTACTGTGATGTAAGATTTTGAACTGGAATACTTTTGTGTAATTCCTTATT